ATAAACTCGCCCCACCTGTCACCCCTCAAATTAAATGAACTCGCCCCACCTGTCACCCCTCAAATTAAATAAACTCGCCCCACCTGTCACCCGTCATCTAAAATTAACTCACCCCACCTGTCACCCGTCATTTAAAATTTACTCACCCCACCGAGGCTCAAATGCCTCAAATGTATTCGTTTCAACGGCACCCAAAGCAATGCAAATCTCACAAATTGCACTCATTTCAAGAGATAAAACAGATATTTTTGAACGTGCCGTTTATTACAAAAGTTTACCTACAGAAAGTGACAATGAAGAAATATAAGTAATATACACACATAAATCAAAAGCATTCTGTTGAATTCTATAAATTTACATTCTCAACTATATTTAGCTAGAAGTGTTACCTTTGACCTTGTCTTTTCATATTATACAAAAATAAAGTACACGTAGTTTGTGCATTTCACTAAGTTCAGGTTATCACAACATAATTACGAGGAATATGATATTCACACTATTGAACAAACTGCCAAAGTTCAAACACGCTGCCAAGGAGAACATGCATACGAAAATGAAGATGAAAAACGTTGAAAAATATTTATAAAAATATAAGTTTTTAAGCCTGACGTTACGTGAACATCGCTTTAAAATATAAAGGTTCTAAATAAATCAACAATTTGTGGAATAGAAAATTTTGGAAAGTATCCCAATTCTTTATATTGCAGTTTTATGTCTTTAACGCAAATTTAACGCAATTTCACAGAAAAATTCAAAGACCAGAAATCAGAAATAGTTTATTCTCATTTACTGTACATTTACAGTTTAGAGAGCATATATACATATACATAAGACACAACATAACATTTACACGAAGAATCACTTGGTCAAATAACAGATGTTGGGGAAATGGAACGGGCTTAAGACAGGATTCAATGTTTTTTTATTTTAATGTACATGTATAAATATGTACTTGTAAAATGTTATAAATGCTGTATGTAGTGTAAATATATACAACCATATGCATGAGTCAGAATAAATATCTAAATGGAAGAAACATCTTAAAACTGGCATATCAAGAATTTACTGGAGTTTACATTCATATTTCGTAGCATAATACATTGTATCTTTCAAAACGTGATCTCAGTACGGATTATTTCTACTTAAACAATGTTCAGATCAAATGTTTTGTTTTATTCTAAAGAAACAAAAGGTTCATTTCAAATCGATTAGATCATAGGATCTGAAAAGTCGCTACATATCACTATTAATTAACTGATGCAATAGAAAACTACCCCCCAATAAATCATTTCTACAAATTGCTCGCCATTCGTAATTGTCAGATAATAACTTACAAATGATGGAAATAATATCGACTTCTACATTGTTCTGTATAAAAGCAAATGAAACGGTGGCTGATCCACTATGCAAACGATCTTACTCGAGTTTCAACTCTCAATATTGTGAAAAATTGCATCTTTACTTTGTGGTCTGTACGATGTTGTGTGCTAACAAAAATTACGTCGTGGCATTTTAAACACTTAACTAATTACACTGTTGATTAACGAAATGAAATTGGGGAGAAGCTGAATGTTTTTTTAAATAAAATCAAATGTGTTCGAGTTCGTCTCAAGGAAAATATTGAAAAAGATCATGATCAATCCCTAGAGTATAATTTGAAAACAAAAAAATATCCATTTCTGAGTATAATTTGAAAAGGAAACACGCTCGATCTTAGTTTAACATTTTTATTAATAATATAATATGTAAGTCTTAAAGGTTTTGAAAATAACAGTAAAACTATAAACATGATGTGGTGCGTGTGTGGGCGTGTGTGAGAGAGAGCGCAGGTGCGTGCATGTCTGTCTGTGTCCAGTTCCAAAATACTGGGACAGCTTTTATTAGATGCCCGTGCATTTTGCAAGATTTGAGCAAAGGCGTTGGCACTTCTGAAATATCAAAATAAAAATTTAATAACGATATCAATATGGTATTCCAATGCAATAAAACTTGGACTATACTGAATTAAATGAAACAGAAATAGTTGTGCTTTTTGAAAAATTAATCGCAATAGGTGACCACCAAACTGAAAAAAATCGATATTTCACAGCAAATGTCAATGAATGTAGCACACCAATATCTAGTACACTATAAAAAGAAAAACGCAAGGAATAAAACGACCAGTGCTATTGGAAAGCGTTCTAAAAAAAAATAAAAATAAAAAAAAAATAAATAAATAAATAAATAAATAAAAAGAAAAAATAAAATAAAACAAAATAAAAATAGATAATAATAATAATAATAATAATAATAATAATAATAATAATAATAATAATAATAATAATAAAACACAACTGCAACAATTCGTCAAAGGATTACAGAATCGATTGCTCAAAATTTAAGGGTTTAGAGGGCATAATTATCTGATGCATATTTCAGTTTGTTCATGCATGATTAACGGATATTATTTAATGAATGATACAACAGCCTGCTTCTATGATATTCAAAAAGCTATTATACTTAAGTTACTATCAAATCCTGGAAAATATCCTACGGGTGTAATGAATTTTAGTGTCATTGTGAAAACTTACAAAAAAAGTTTTTCTCGTTTATCTGCTTCTGTAACAAACATGTAAAACACTTTTCTTAGCATTAAATGGAACGTAATGCAGACCAGTTTCTAATGTAGGCACCTGAGAAAGTCCACACAAATACATGTACATCGAATACAAATATGTAAAAACGTTCAAAAATACAAATGTTTTTATGTGACTCACGTGCAGTGAGTGGCAATTATGTGGCCGTGCCTGGGCACCTGCAAGTGATATATATATATATATCTTTGGGAGCGTACTTTTCATATATTTTACGTAAAATTTTTCTTAAATCCAGTGAACTACTCAGCCACACTTATTACCTGGTAATATGGACTCGTAAAAACACGAAAATGCTGCAAATCACCTTCGTTATAAACGATAAAGAGCCTATACAACCCATTCCACAACCTTCTGAATTAAAACAAACAGTCCAGTACTTGTTCAAACTCGAACCACAAAGGAAGAAACACGTAAACTACTGTAGCCATACATACCACATTCGAATCGCAACTTCGTTCACATCTATGCGCATGTAAAAGAAATACTACCCATAAGATTTACTTGCTTCAACCATGTATGATGGGTCCAAGCTACATGAATGAGATGCTCTCCGTCCAACGTCCTCTACAGTCTCCAACTAACAAGTGATCATAGTTCTCACTAAGCCGAGCGACTTATTGTTATGCAAATTGCAACAATCTGATTGGGGAGTTGAAATCATTCTAAAAAACTGCAAATGGACTGGAAACGCAGTATCTTCCTTTTTCGTCTAACCTACCATACATGTATGGGCTTTTATTTTGGACAATCATTGTAAAATTTCTATTGTAGAATTTGTATGTTAAAAAGAGACAAATACACTGCGTTATGATGATTTATGCAATTTCAGAATGCCCACATCTTTTATCGCCAGTGTCATTTTGAATCATGCCCAAAATAAGTAATAGAACAATTTCAAAAATAAACAAATATGCAAACACATTTTATTATACATGCACTTTTAGAGACAAAATCCAGGGCAGATCCAGGCTTGGGAAATTTTGTTCAATTTTCTTATTTTCCCATTCCGCCTTACATGTGTAGTGCCAAAAATTACCTCTGCTAAGGTTCTGTTTGTCTATGCAAAAAGTTTTGGAGGGATTCTGATAAAATTTTCACGATAGCTAGGAAATGGGTTAGATTTTGGTGGTGATTAATTAATCAGTTAATTAACCAAAAATGACACTGGAACTTATTAATGATTAGTTTAAAAAACTTACATAGTTGGGGCTATTTTACATGTATACTGACAGTCAATGAAAACGCATCAGAAAACTTTCTTGTACTTTTTTACCGAGAATCGATTCCAACCATATAAATGAGTACAAATGCACTTGTTTGGTCATAAGAGAGTGGGCTGACCACTATTTCATATTTCACATGAAAACTGTTATTTTCTTAATGTGCCAAAGGAACTTAAAATATTACTGAATAAATAAATGATGCGTTTTCTTTGACTGTCAGTATACACATGCAGAATTACAGGTAAGATTTTCAGTTCTTGCCATCACAAGCTCGATTCTTTATTTGTCAAGTTATTTGACCGTAAGTATGTGTAAAGTGTTTCAGATGATGTTAAATAAACACAATCAATAACATCTAGAGATTCAATTTTGTAATTCTTCTTAATTAGAAATCAATTCGACAAATATCTATATTTTAAATGTGCATATTTATCTTCAGAAATGATAGAGTTCTAATACTACAATTTTATTTGTCTTCTGGTTGTATTTTAAACTCATAACATTTTATCTACTAGCTGTTTAAAAACAAATGCAAACTTTTACCTCTAGAATCCTTGACAATTTTTTGCATATATAATTATTAAAAATCCCTACTACCCAAGGTAATTTATCTTAAATGGATTTGGGAGTGCTTTTTCAATGTAGATACATCACTGAAAGCTTTGCAGCAGACAATGCAAACATAAGGTCTTTCTCCTGTGTGAGTAAGTTTGTGGCGATCAAGGTGATTTTTCGTAAAGAACGACTTGCCACAGTCTTGGCATTCATGCTCCCTCTTCCAGCTGTGCCTCTTCACATGGATTTTCTGAGCAGGTAAGGATATAAACTGTTTTCCACAAATTGGGCACAGGTAACGATTTTCATCTGTGTGGAGCTTAAGATGTTGTTTTAAACATTTCTCCCTGTAAAAGCCTTTGTGACACACACTGCACTGGAAACCTGGCTTCTCAGCATGTGTCTGAACATGCTCAGTGTACATGCATTTATGAGTAAAACCTTTCCCACATACTGCACACACAAAGGGCATGGGACCCTTGGGATGGCGCCGTTTTTTGTGTGCCTTCAGGTGAGAAGCATGGTAGAACATTTTTCCACATTCATCACACTGGGCTTCTACAGGATCTGCTTCATGTCTTTTCATGTGAAACTTAAACCCTAAATCAGTAGTAAAAGTCTGTGTACACACATGGCATATTATACGGTCTTTAGCAGGTTTTGGTAGATGTTTACTCTCTATATGTCGTCTTAAATCATTCTGTACAGCATATTTCACACCACACATGGGACAGGGCAGCGTTTTCTCCAAATGTCTTCTTTTCAGATGATTGATAACTGTTTGCCTATATTCTGTTCTGTAGTCACAGTAGTTACAACAGAATATACCATTTTCTACAGTGCTGTGAAGTCCCAAGTTATCCACTGTCAACAAGACAGTTGAATCTGAGGGATTACCAGCCTCTGTCGTCTCTTCTTGATGGTCCGTTTTCACATGTGCTACCAGTAAATGTACACTGCTAAAAGTCATACCACACTTATCACAGGACACACACATTTCTTCTGTTGCATGTTCCTGCTTATGTGCAGTCAATCTAGCCTTGGTACCAAATGGTTTTTCACATACGGTACAAGTATACTTTGACCTAGTATGGACAGTTTTAATATGATATCTCAAATCAAGTCCGTTTCCAAAAAGGTTTGAACAATCTGGACACTGCAGAGATCTTTCCATGTGCTTCCTACTGATGTGCATTTTAAATTCCTTTTTACCCTTCACCTTTGATGCACAGTAATTACACTGCAACATCCCATTTCTGACAGTGCAGTGTTTTATGAATGATTTCCAAGGCAACTCAAGTGGATCTTCAACATCATTATCTAAACATATTTTGACACTTCCTGCTTCATTTTTAAAAACACAGCTGTGTTTACCCAGTTGCCTTTTTGTTCCAAAACATTTTCCACATTTATTACACATATATTTCAGCCTCCAATGCTTGGCAGCTATATGGTTTCCAACAGCAGCTTTGTCTACAAGTTTAAGTGAGCATATGGGGCATATCCGTATGTCATCTTTATTGCCATGTTTGCTGACAATGTGACACTGATAATCTTTATTTAGGTGGAAGACTGCCTCACAGAAATCACACTTTTGTCTATATCTGTCCATATCTTCCAAAGTTAAAGGTATATATCCTGTACCCATATTAATAATGCTTCCAGCATCAGCATCACAAAGCTGAAACTCTGACTTAATCTGGGTAGAATCTGGTGCTGGCATAACATTATCAGCATTGGGCTGTAGGGAATAAGAGGAAGGGTCAAAGGTGTTTCCACTGCTTTGCACAGCAAGATAATTCTCTCCATTACCATTACTAGTAAGCTGATTTGTCTGCTGGGCTACAGTATCTGAGTGTTCTATGTAACCAAAATCATCATCCGGGACATCACCATCTTTATTTGTGTCAGACTGACTGCCTAGCAAGGGATGTGAGGATGGAGTTTGATTGGCAATATAACTGCTTTTATGTTCGCTGGTTGTGCACGTACTTGTGGGCTGTACTGGGGAGGTGTCCACCGCTTTTTGTCTTGAGACATCCCCTGCGCGAATTCGAACACCTGCTCGTTCGTCACTCTCAAGTTCCCTATTTTCTGTTGCATATGTCTTAAACAAATGATCATGAAGTTCCTTTATACCATTTAAATCGCCGTTAACCCAACAAGTTTGTATGTTTTTCACATTTGCCCAAGTACAATGCAAGTTCCATCTCCCAGCAAGGTTTTGCATAACGGTTGTATTATTGGGGACCCGCCGAAGAAAGGTCGGAGATATTGCTGCACTAACTGATACAAACACCATCATCTTGATGTCATAAAACTTACTGAAGGTATCATCTAGTGACTCGTTGACTTCTTAATCATCGGTTATTTCTCACCACTCGACACGGTCTGTGCTAACCGCTACAGTGCAGCGAAATGAACCTTCTTTTCTAAAAGAGGTCACTATAAAATGATCCTACTCGTTTTAGCACTGAAAAATCAAATCTGAAATGTTTTGTCTCGGCTGTAAATTCTAAAAATGGACCTTTTCTTTGAAATTATAAGAACTTAATTTGTTTGAATATATTATGAGTACCAATCAAAGTTGCAATCTGGTTTTAACAAGCACAGTTATTTGGATCAGGGAAGCGTAGGCCCTACATGTTGACTATGTAGGCCTACTAGTAGGCCTACTGTAGTAGTAGGCTACTAGTAGTACCTAAATAAGTGTAGGCCTACATTAACTTCCATTTGCATGAAGAAAATCCGCCTTGAGTTAACCAATATTTGATTAATTCAATGTGTAAAGAAAAACAACGCCACTTTTCCCAGTGCTTCACTGATGCTTTGATAAAAAAGCACCATATCATAAAAACCCCACAAGCTGGATTGTCCATTGTGTTTATCCGACCTAGGCTTTACATACGATTTATGGGGTGGTTCGAAGCAAAGTAGGCCTAATTCGTAGCAATATTATTTTATTTCTGCAAGAATTATGATGACATGTAGACTTATAATTGGCCACCTTAGGTTCACATATAGAGGATGCGATTGTTTTTGGAAAGATGCCTACCAAACGCAATCGCATCGTTTCTACTACTGCATTTTCTTGTAACTTATTGAGCCATATGACTCTTTCTGCTCTTTGGATATCTTACGGGGATTCAGAATGGTGTATGATGCTCTTTGAGAGGGGTTAAAGTATCCCTTTGAAAAAAAAAAAAAAAAAAAAAAAAAAAAAAAAAAAAAAAAACAGCCAAAAATATTTTTGACGCTAAAGTTTCATGGGAATGAGTCTGAAACAGTTTTGCCCACTAAGGGCCTATTAGCTCAGGAATTAGCGCAGCTTCCGTATTCAAGGCACACTGTCGGTCTACATATCAAATAGAATTTCGTTTTTTTATAAAACGTTTTTTTTTCTATTTACTTTTTGTATAGACCTATTTTGTTGTAGCAGGACTTGAAACGCAAATTGATTCTGCCTTGACCTTCTTTTTGTCTAGTTCGCTGCACTGATATTTACAAAACTTATTGTCGCGATCATCGTTTATTTACTGCAACACGGAGGTAGCCCTACCTGATTGTACCTGATAAAGTGGAATCGCGTCAAATGCAGTTTTATCTAAACGATCAAATAAGCTTGCTCTAGGTAGCAAGGGAAAAAATAGGCCTACACTGCAATGGAACACGTGGTTTATGTATGGAATCCTTTGTATAGTTACTTCTCGAAAAAAAACCCAACCTTCTCAGGTCCAGGATTGTTTGAAGGGGGGACCCCCTGACACCCCCCTATATCCCCACTGACTATTATTTATGTAACCGATTTATCAACTGTGCCATTACATAGTAAGTAAAGAGAAACGTCCAGTTAGTCAAACGCAGTCAGTATAGCAAAAAAGTAAAAAAATAATTGATAAATATTTTAAAAATAATTTAATTTTTAGTTGCTGTTTATGTGGAGGATGTTTGAAAGTTAAGATATGACGGACACATACCAGCAGGGCCTATCGAGGAACGTCACTCAAATCATGACATTTGACGTCGGTCTCCCATGCTCATACCAAAGTCGCGGGGAAAGGGGTACTGGTAGTTTTAGATAACTATTTCTTGGTCAGAAAGCTAGCGTGACCTGACCTAATCAAGGAAGTAGATAAGGATCTGTACTTCTTTGCATATCCTGATATAAATTGGATTTGAGTAACACATTCGTAGGTAGATGGACATGTTAAAAAGAAACAGACGCCTTATAACCGGATTAGCCAATGTGTCTTTGGTCACTGCAAAATAAAGAAAAGAGGAGTCTTTTTTAAATTTAAGCAATATTATTCTCCATGAATCGGATTTTGATCTTGTATTTACTTTTGCCGAGACAATTTCGTATATTAGTACAATTCCCTTCATATTAATTTGATATATAAAAACTTTTTTATTTTCTATTTATTTATTTTTGCAGTTTACTACCATCATTCGCCATAATATAAGGCCCTGTGGATATATGGGTAAACTCAAATGATTTTAACATCCAGTTAAGTTTACACGTATGAAAGATGGCATATGTCAATCTCATAAATACCAAAATTCTCATTCATCCGAAGGAAAACGCACTTCCTTTCAGATATTACATTTGTACACCGGCTTAATATTCGTATTCGTACCTTATATCCTCTTAAAAAAAAAGGCATTGTCTTCTTAAGTTCGGGCTCCTAGCCTTCCAGTAGAAAGGCAGGCCTACGTTTTAATGTGAAAAAAGTAAGGAAAGTTTGCATTTTCTTAAGACTAAAAGAGTTAATTCGAGACAAATGTTCGATCCCTTTAACGGTACATGTACCTTTGGTTACATGAGTTTGAGTAATGATACACCATTCCGATTTACCGCGGGTGGATAGCCTTGTCTTTATTGACCTATTTATAGTGCGAGCGGTTGCAGGTACCATTCGATTGCATACTGCATGCTTTTCAGCTGAGGGAAGTGCTACCAACATGAAGATCCTGGAGGCGTGCTTTTTAGTTATTGTCATTACTGGTAAGCATAAAAAAGAAACTGTAGTATGAAAGATACCCCGTTTACGGGCCGTGCTACGGTACTGACATTAGGTCTGGTCGGGCAAATCGATTAGTTGTTTACGGGCTGGGTGTTATTTACCAATGTCAAAGGAAATGCGGCTACGCCTCCTAAGCTTTAGGCCGCCTCGGCATAGATCAACAAGGATAGCCCTACGCACATGTGTAAACTCACCTCTTTTGCAGTTAACATGAACTAAAGTAATGAAATATTAAGTACCGTCAACCTCTGCATTTGTGTCTGTATGCTTTCTGTATGCTTTCGCAGTGAAATGCACGCGCGCACGCACACACAATTGAGTGTATTCAAAAAGACTGGAATGTAGGCCTACATGTATAATCTGGAATCAGATCTGTAGGCCTATGTAGGACCTGTAAAGCAAGCCCTTGATCAAACACAGGAAGGCGCTTTTGAAATAAGCGTTGGTTTAGATCATGGGGGAGGGGCAGCTGGCAGTGGTTAGATATTTCAAACAGTGTAATGTAGAAGGCGAATTGATGATAATGTGTTTCCAGTTGTTGGATGTCGATGATCAGTTTTTAAAGATAATCTAAGGAAAATATGATCCGTAGCCTATTGACACTATGTTGAGGAAAACACTAAAAGTCATGTACAGGTCTTACAGGTGTTGATTTACGCTTATCCAAAATTATTGTAAATGCATTTAATGAGGCGGCCTTTGATAACCTCAAAAGGTGCTGCATGTGACAGTTTTCTGCTGTGTGGTAACAACAAAATGCACTGGCAGGTCTTGGATTCAATTTTAGGGTGGACTTGTAATTATTATAATTATAATTTTATTTATTTATTTATTTATTTATTTATATTGTTCTTTATATTAATCGTTCTTGGTGACATAAAACACCAACAGAAGATAATAATAACATGTAGTAACAACTTGACAGGGGGGTTTCAAACGTGTAGAGTCATTAAAGGAGATTTTTATTTTAGTACAAACTTTAAATTAGGCTTTTTATTTTGTTGTCAGGATGAAATTAATAGTTCACAGCTGGTGGTATGGGGTTCATCCAGTTTTGTGTCCATTGATTCATCAGATTTGAAATTTGAACATTTCCCACCTTAAAATTAAGTGCAAGTTAACCCCTTTAAAAATTTTGAATAATAATATTTTGGCAAATGGATGGCCCTGTTTGACACCAATGTATACACTAGTAAGGCACAAAAAATCTGGAAAAGCAATCACCAAATATAAAGGAATATAAGTAAACTTGAGACTACCACAAAAGACCACACAATTATTTTCAACTTTCAGTCACAAGAATGCTTATGCATAATACTTTTGTTTTCTGTTAGGACTTAAAAAATGGCCATGACAGATAGTTTTGGTTAACCAAAACCATTTTCATATTAAAAACACCAATTTCGACAGGCAGTATGAGAAAGAAAAATAATACTAACAATTGATTAGTTAACATCATCAACTCAGAGTTACTGAACTAAATGCCTCTGCAGTAAGCACCTCTTTAGCATACCCATTTATATTATGTCATTGGACAAGAGTTGCACACTCCTTTTGGATAAATTATTCCAAAATTTGTCAACTCTCTTGAGCTCAAAATGATCATCAGAGATTATACACATACATTTTATCAACAATGTATTTCCATGGAATGTGTTGGAATTACATCTTGGTTTTATGCATATCTCATCAGAATATAAGAATAAGTACAACTAAAACAACCCACATTTCTTTAGTGAGCATTGCAGAGAAAATAACATCAAAAACATTATTTCCAGCTGTGCCTTCATTTTTGTTGTTGAGGCTATATATAACCCAGAAAAATACTTTTGATAAAATAAATTAAGATTTTCATTTTTTAAGCAAGTGTGTTTTTGTAAAGACTTATTTCTCATAATCACTAAATTAACATATCCTGACACATAAAAGGTCAGCTTTTATAGTAATATGCATATATTTTGCATCATATGCATATGTCCAGAAAACAGATCATTTACCATTTTTCAAAAAAAAAAAAAAAAAAAGGTGATGTACATTACATTGTCCTGTCACCTTTGACCATAGTCCAGCCCTTGTGACATGTGATAGACTACATGGCTACATGACCAGCACAGATTGCCACTGTTTTGAACAACTGCAATTAACAGCGAGCTCGCAGAATTCATGCAAGATTAATACATCCAGCATTGCTTTTACCTATCACCCACTGCTTTATGATAGGGTTTAGTGATTTTTCTTAATTACAGTGTCATGTGATGAATAAATGAAATGCCACCTCTGACCACCAGCCTCTTGGTTTATCATCCAGCATAAAAGAGAGGTGAATGTAAAGATATATAAAAAAGAATCCCAGATTTTAAAGTTTGTTTTAGATATGATATCATGCATATGAAAGGGCAAGGAGGCACACGTGTGGCATAGGGCATGTCACAGTCAATACAACTGCCTTTAAGAAGCCAACAAGCTGTTACTTGTAACATCTGAAAAGGATGTACAGAGCCCACCCTACCTATAAAACTGCAACCATCTATTGATCCTACCATCATAAAGGAAGGAAGATGTACTTGAATGACAATTGTTATTGTTAGATCTGAAAAAATGTTCCTGGATTATGGGATTATCTGTAAAAAGGAGCACCTTTTGGGGACTTACATTCTGAGACAGAGAAACAGTGAATATTTAGTAAGTGGAATGTGTGATTCTGTCATAGTTTTAATTTCTCAGAGATCAGGGGCGGATTTAGGCCGTCTTCTGGGTCTTCCGGAAGACGGTCAGATTTTCAAGTTTACATTGACGGGTATCTAATTTTTTTGTCGGAAGACGGTCAAAAATGGAGGGTGGATTTATGAAGATAATTTGGAAGCCTGTGAGAAAATATCTCTGGATCCGCCCCTGTAGATAACTATATTTCTTGTATTACTATCAATTTCATTTACTGCAAAATATAATTCTGTTGTATATGTAGCTTCTTGGGCATTTATTGGATGTAATATTTTATTGGTTTGTATTGTGGGCTCTGTTTTAACTCAGTAAACCTCCTATTTTTTTTAGTCCCAGTTACTTTATAGCCTTTAGTGAATCTATAATTCCACTAACCCAGAAGAGATAAAGCAAAGAGAAAAACTAAAAGAACCAGCTAAACTGACAAAAAACACTGACTATTTTGACATGTTTTTTTATGGGAATCCAGCCAGACAACTCTCAGTAGGAACAAAAGAAACCAATACTTCTCTGTTTTTAGTCAAAGCATGCACTGTAGATGTCTTATTCTTTTAATTAAAGTGATGATGCAAGGGCTTCTTAAACACAAACAGTTGAGGTTGGTTAAGTTAGTATTGTGTGTTTAACCTCACTGCAGGGCCACATGGTTTGGTCTCTATAAAATGTGTGCTTTCAAAAAATGAATATTCAGTCTTGGAACTGTGGAGAGGAACTATCAGTATTGTAGTGTAGATTATCATTTTTACTGAAAAAGGGGTGAGTATATAGTGTAAAGGTACTAGCATATTTAGCATGTATCATATAGCTTGTTTTCAAAAGATGGCCTGAACTGTGCTAAAATATCCCAGGTTGTGAAATTGGCTCACAATCTTTGCATTTTTGAAGGAATGCATATTTTTATTTATTTTTTGCTGAAGTTTCTTTTTCTAAAACCTCCATTTACATGTATCAATATTTAGGTTTATGTAGGTATAAATAACAGATTTTTTGTTTTTTTTAGCAGCTACTGTAAACAGCAGTCCTATAGCAGATCATGACTTGTCAAATGAGAAAAATGTTCACCGCAATCACCATCGAACGCGACGGGCGACAGAAAATGAATACAGACGGATGTCTCCATCAGACAGACCAAAATGCAAATCAGGCTCAACTGTAAGTTAAGTTTCAAGCAAGAAATTTGTCATTTTAACATCATAATTATGTTCTCAAATGATGTGTATTCCAATGATATATCAGTTTCTGGCCTGGGCCAGTTTTTAGTGATTATTTAAAATCCATTGTGTGATAGAAATTAACTTGGCGTAGTAAAAAAGAAATAACAATAAAAGAAATGCAATTACGTGTACCTCTGTTTCAGATAATTTCGTTACAGAGTCGAGGTAGATTGCATTAAAAGGGTCAAAGTGTGGCAATATAATTTGTGTTGAACAGAAAAGACAGTGGTTGATAGGAAGATAACATAACTTAAGAAGTTTGATCAAGATAAGTTATCTTATTGCAAATACCTCTGTCCGTCATGTAACTGGGCAAAGAATTACAGACCATAAAAACATCTTATTTGTATGTGTAGGGGTAAGGTGCTTGTAGGCAGGGGTGGGGTTACATTTCATGTTTGGTTGTGACATTTTCATTTCATAAGTACTAATTTAGCTATATGTAATTAGTTGAACTGATTCAACTATACTGTAAAGAGGCATTTTTAGTGTTTTTATACACTAGTAGTTTAATCTTGGTTGAACCCAGGCCAGTTTCAATCAGTCAAAATTAAGCAACCTGACACAAGAACAGAACAATTAACAAGTAATTTATCACTTTTAACCAAAGAGGTATGAATTAGTTAACTCCATTCTCATAAACATACATTTAGTCCTTGGTTGTATAAATCATATAATCTGATTAAGTTGAAGAGTTAAGATCATTATAATTATATTGTTTATTTTAAAAAGTTGCTGCTTCATCTTGATTTTTTTTTGTCATTTGGCTTTTACATGATGTTTGTGAAGAACAGATTCCTTATACTTTTCCACTGTCACTCTTTCTTAACAAATTCAATACTTTGAAATACCCCTAATGTTCATTTTTTACTTCATTTTACTTAAGCTTAGTTAATAATTTATGCAGCTCATGTATTGTCTTCTGGCACTTGTACAATTTTATGGCAGTGACTAGTAATTTTATCACTTAATATGCTTATTATATAACATGCCTTTAGACATGTAAGCATAGCTTTAAAAATGACACACACACACAAAAAAAAATTAAATATACTTCATTTTGCATTTAAATGTTAGTTTGCTCAGGGGTTGAACACTGTATGAGTACTTAATTAATTCATCCAAGTTTTTAAAATCATTTCTCAAAATATACATCAATGCAATTTCATCATAATCATCATAAAATTCCTGAAAAACTGACCATGAATTCAGTCACTCACACACACACACACACACACACACACATATATATTTACAAATAAACTTCATTAAAACATATAGAGATGGGTAATAATATGATTTATTTAGATCCTCTTAGTTTGGTAGCACTGGCTTGTAGCCTGGACTGATCTCATGCTGTGCACCAACATTCCAGAGTCTACTACATTGGTACCACTGGAATTCCACACCGTATATATAATGTTGATCCTTGCATCCTCTTTTGACCTTTTTCTCTCATTCCTGGAGGTAAAAAACAAAAACAGTGCTAAAAAAGGTGATAGGTAAAACAACCATCTGCAGATTTACCCCAATTATATTTGCTCCCTGCTGAACATACACAAACAAGCCCCACTTGACCCTAATTGAATAGATAAAATGCAGTGACGTTGACGCCCATTGTTTTTGTGAAATGTCTTGAGGGGTCGCATGCTTTGTATGGTAATGAAGCGGCATTTGTAAAGTTGATTTAGATTTTTTTGTGTCTGTATATCTAGTTGTATATTTTGACTGATAAGCTGAAGTAAAGTCTGTATTTCTTGAAGCATTGCATGGCCATCATCATCAGTCAGTGGAAATCATAGCCCAAAAACTGGTTTAAAATGAAGTGTGGTTTTGTGGGATTTGGAAGAGAGCTAGTTCAGAAATACTTTTTATACATTATCTATATTTATTTTATATATAAATATCACCTGAGAAAAAAGTTTTTTTTTCACATAAATGTTAGTTGGACAAAAAAGGTAATTTTTCTTTTTCTAATTTTCACAAGTCATACATGTATGGGAAGTTCTTCAGAAGGATAGCCCCTCCCTATCACATTTTCTCAGTAAGACATTTTTACCGCTCCCCTCCCCCCACGAAAAAAAAAAAAGGAAAAAAAAACTTTTATTGTATAGAAAAGTTGTTAAAAGAGGTGCAAAAACTGCAATTCAGGCACATTAAATATTAAGCAACAATTTATCTATCCTGTACAATCACGTAACTTACCCACTGTTATTCTAGATATGAGGACATGAATCTTTACACATAAAACAAAGAAAAAAGTGACTATCCTGTTCAGACAGGCACTGAATGTGTATCTTGCAGTTTTTTGGTCAGCTTGTAAAGTTCACTGGCAGGTCAGTTATGTACCAGGACATTCTATATAAACCAATCTGTTTTCTTCTGCATGCACAATATCGTTTTTCTTCTTTTTTTCTTCTCACATTCCATTGAATCTTTTAATGTGATGTACATGCATGGTATTTCTTATTTGCCATTTTAGAAAAATAAGAAAGGTTTGTATAAGTATCTCAAACACAAATGGATAACTTTTTCAGATGCCACGGCCACCCAATGAAGTAAATACCACATCTCGTCTTCAGAAATTGCGGGCTTTGTTTCCAGCCTATGATGGAATTAAAGCTTACTACATTCCAACAGAGGATGCACATCAGGTAAGTAAACTGAGCTCATAAAGACACTCATATCATTCAGACAATGTTGGTAATGGAATATGGGGGGATTTTAGCACTGTTGGACCCAGGGGTGAACACAAAGGCCACATGACCTTCCCTTTATTAACTTAAGTGAAAGAAAAAAAAACACAAATGTAAAATTTTTAATAACAAGTCAAACCAAGCAATGTTTTCCATCCCACTACTCTATAGGAAAAACTCATATACCCCTTTATATAATACATATAATGCTTGTCTGCAGCTTTATATTAACCAAGCCATATGTGTATGCCTGTCAATTTTTTTGGTCCTTGTCAAGTTTGCCTAGGATTTATTCTACTGATAAAGCTGGCCCAACAGAGACCACAGTGACCTTTGGCTACTATCTCAGAGTTTCAGGGGGACACCCTTCTACTATCAACATGCCTATGTTGTTTAGATGGTTTTCAGTGTCCTCTGATACTCAGGATGCTGGTTACGGACCTCTATGGAGGAAGATGCATGATATAATATGTGAATTTTCATCAGCACACATCTTCTATGTTAAATATGAAGCACTTGGTTTTCCATACAACTCCCAAATCACTGTATTAGCACATTTGATAATTGGCTTCATCTGGTGAAGTCTGTGTTCTTCCCAAAAAATATAAACATAATTTTTTTTTTCAGAGTGAATATGTCGCTGCTCACGATGAACGGAGAGTTTATATTTCTGGTTTCTCAGGATCTGCAGGTAGTTTAAAATTTATATAGTTTTGAAAACACCATCATATTGGAAGTAAATAGATACCAGCATATATAATATGATGTGTATTCTCTTTTCATGTGATATATTTTACTAGAACAAAAAAGTACTGTATGACACCAACAAGGGATTGACAATATTCTGAAAAAGATATTTTCCCAAAAGATTAACTGTAAGTACATTTGTTAAAATTGCTGCTTTTGATCTGTCTGGCAAGTCATTTAATCAAATTGTCAGGTAAGGCATTTGATCAAATATTCAAGGAGGCAATTAAAATCAAGAAATTCCAGTTTTAGAATTGATCATCAGAGACCACATATTTAGTTACATACATGTGTACATGTGTAACAATTTTTGTCAATATTAATTGTTTGAATTGTGGCATGGCAAATATGCACATTTTTTATATAAATTAAAATTAAAGTTTTTATTCAAATAATTCTTTTAAGAGCTTTGTGGTGTCAATATGATTTTCTTACTTTACCAGGCACAGCAGTTGTCACAGAAGACAAGGCAGCACTGTGGACAGATGGAAGATATTTCTTGCAGGCTGAAGCCGAGCTTGACTGCAACTGGATCCTTATGAAACAAGGTATAATTGTATCCTTCTCCAAGACCTGAAGTTGTTCCTTGACCAGTATTACAAAATGATTTATTGATCTACTGTACATATACATTTGTTTTACTGTATTTTGCATGAAGTATGAAGCGTAGGCAAATATTAAGAGGTCTACAAATTATAATTATCATTGTTAAAAGAACAAAGTCGTCATACATAGTAAGGACACATGCCAATGGTGAATTCCTGATTTTACATAAGTTATGTAAGTAGAAGTTGTTACTCACCATCCTCAACCCATTAAAATTGGCCTCCTAATTTTTAACAACTGAAACTCATTTTGAAATCTCAAAGCAAGTCCCAGACCCATAGGAAAGGGGGGGGGGAGGAGGGTGTATATGAATAAATGATCAGTGATTAAAGACAGATTAACATCAAGCACTAGACAGAATATAATTTAATGACCTAAATTACAGTAATAATGAATATGAAGGTTTCGCTTTTAAAATCTGAATCCTATGGATAAGTGTGTTTGCTGTTATAGTTGATGTATGTGTGCTGGAAAGGCTGCAGTCACGTTGCATATGTAAATTTGTATGTTCATCTGCAAGGTGAAGTGCTGTCCTTCGTGCGCACTGTGAACTGCTGCACAGGTCAGTGCACGTACAAAACATGATGCTCCTTAAAAAAAGGTGGAAGACATATATTAATGCAGCTGTAGGTAACATTTATGTATAGAGAAGTATAAGACATAACGAGAAATTTGACTTTGTTAAAAATTGACAGATGAAATGTTGGAACAGTCTGTCAAAGTTTGATTACCCAGAGGGGTCTGCTAAAATTTCCACAAAATATACCAATTATTTTTTATTGAAAAATAACAGGGAACAGTAAAACACTATCATAATTTTTTGAATGAGGCTTTTATTATATAATGGTTATTTTAAATGTTCATCCAAAATTGTATATGATTACTTTATTGAATGGCGCATGTTTTGTGTCTACCATTTTTTTTTGGTGAAAATATCATTTGATTAAATCCCTGCAGTGTGACATTGTAACAACTTTTTGCTTTTGTTCAAAGATGCCTTTTACCTGTGCAGGTGTTGATACTGTGTCATCTGCAAGGTGAAGTGGTGTCCTTGAACTCACAGTACTAACAACAATACTGTGGTGGTGGTACTAACCAGCAGAGGACAGATCTTTTGCCATAAAATATTTGATAAAAGAGAAAAACTTTAGTTCAAAAATAAAAAATAAGTTAATGAACGTCTTCCCCAACAGAAGTCTCTTTAATAACCCAAAGTCACATAAAATTTTTTTTGATTGGAAAAAATTACAATGTGACTGCACATTATAAATTAAAATGATTTTATCTTTTTTTTTTGGTAATCAAGACTATGTTATTGTCATAAATTTGCAGAAATAACAAATCTGTGTAATGCAATCAACAAGCCCTATTTAGTAACCATTATCTTTAGTTGAACCTGCATGCATAGGCACATGAGCATGGGGAGGGGGCGTAGGCTATGTTGCTTACCCCCTCTCCCTTTTACACGAATGGTTAGTCCCCACTTCAAAGTACCCAAATACGCATCTATGCATGTAGAGCTTCTAAATACAAACAACACTTTCCTTATCTTTGCACAAGAACTAGCATAATTCATTATAATAGCAATAGTATTATGGCTTTTATGAACTAATATATACTGTAGAGCATTACTAACCCTTATATAATGTTCAAGTAGAGCATGAGTAGTTTATGCACAGCTTCACATCATGGCATCTTGAATAAGAGGCAAACAACTGCCAGATGTAAAGCTGTTTGTATGCTGCTTTACCTATCTGCTTTTTTTTAGATTTAAACTAACCAGCCCCTGCTTTAAGAACTACATGTAGGACTATTAGTGTCTGCTTTTAGGCCGGAGAAACCAATTAGCACTCATAGGATCTAGGATCATGAAGATTAAGAATTTTGCTTTTGGGTGATTCTTAGGACCAAAACAACAGCATGCTTTTTACTCTACAACCACTATAAATCTATAATTTACATGCATTAAATATCTGCTTTCATGCCTAAAGCTAATTTGGAATCCTTTTAAAAACTTGCACAATATGCTATAATGGTGTAGTCTTAGACGGTTGCTAAGAAAAATACTTCAAGTCTGAGAAAAGACTGAAATCAATGATACAAATAAATCAAAAATCAAAGTAACCTAAATTTATTTTCTAATTGGGGCTTCTTGAATTATAATTGTTTCAGCAGGCATTGATGCATTTACAGCAGTCATGTAACTTTTTTTTTTTTTACAATTCCAGTTACTGGTATTGACAGGATTTTTGAATTCCTAACTTAAAGACTATTGAATTAAATAATTTTTCAAATAAGCCCAAGGCATTAATGCAATAGTTCTCTTCTTGTCCTCAAAAGACATCCATCAGATTAAATTAACTGAACATTAAAAGAAAAATAAAGGAACTAATATTTTACCTCACAGCTGCTGTTGCCGCATAGTCAGATGATGACATTAAGGCGTGAGATACATAAAGTCAGAAAGTCTTAAATGGAAAATTATGCAGCATTTACATAAAAATGACATTTGGCATTTATTTCTGTTCTCTTTGATCTGTGACAGTTGGAGGAGATCATGACTGCATGATCCATGTTATTAGGCATGGGTGTGGTCAACTATATGACCACCAGCTGACCTGTTGCTACATGTCCATTCAAACAAGATGTATTCATTTAGATTTCTTCTAATATCCAATCATAATTATTTCTCATCATGGAATTTAGTATTTCATATTTGATTACTTTAATTATAATTTAATTATAATTTAATTTTTGAGAGAGTACATGTATGTGACTATCCTACATTATTTCTATAATGAACAATTTGAATGGAACAGTAATAAAAATAACTCGTGAATATATTTGGGATCAGAATTATCACAAATGACAAACAATTATTAACATCAAATTCATATTTCGAATAGATATGAAAATGAAATTTAAGTGATTTTAACAATTATTACTTGATTGTATTTTCTCATGAAGTATATATGGGTTTATATAATTTAAGAGCTAACAGAAAGGAATGCATAATAATTAAGGCTCATATAATACTGACCTGTAAAATGTTGAATATCATAAGGTTTTAACTAAAAGTTGACCTGATTCCAGGAGAGACTGGAGTCCCTAGTTCAACCGAATGGCTGGGCAGTCTTCTTTCAGCTGGGGACAAGGTGGGAGCCAATCCTACACTCATGCCTATAGGTAATTTATACAGCCTAGGGTCACCCTGGCATGTCTTTCTGTTATTCATCAAAGTTATAATAATTTTTTTAATAATTAATAATTAAAAATATTTAAACTTTACATGGATCATGGTTGGCATTTAATGAAAATCTTTTATGGTAGCATTAAGATGGTACCATCACGGAGAGATGACTAACTGTTTTACAACCTGAATTATACGACTTGCAGGGTCAAAGAGGAGAGATACAAAAAAAAAAAAAAAAAAAAAACACTACCACTGCTCAGTGGAGTATATAGTTTCAATGTCTCTTTGTTTTCTGGCATGATGGCACATCTTTTTTCTGTTTAATTGCATTTGTCACATGAAACCATATTAAAAACGAAACCATCGAAAATGTGGGCTCTCCGTAACGATCCATTTTGAATACATATTATCTCCCCAATTGTATATTAACATTTTTTCAGTTTACATTTCAATTAGTCAAATAATGCACCGATTTCAATATCATACAAATTTATGAAATAAGTCAGCTTTAAACCTTTTGTTTGATTTCAGACAGCTGGCAGGTTATTGAAAATAGGATGAAAGACAAGAGTATCAGCCTGATTGGGAATTCCACCGACCTTGTTGATGAAATATGGCCAGACTCTGAGAGACCAGCTTTTCCTAATGGAGACATCATTATTTTGAATACTACATTTTCTGGTAAGAGAGGTGTAAAAATAAAAAATCCACCCCTAAGAAATAAATAGTGTAATATTATGTCAGTTTTTTCCACAGTTACCTTTAACCCAATAACATTATTTTTAGCATAAGTAGATGAAGATACCCTGTAGTAAATTTCAGTAGAAACATAACTATGGTCTCTTTAATTCTAAAATTACAAGTAACAAATTAATGAGACAAAACTATACAAAGTCATTTCATAATGTATCCTGTACTAATTTCAAGTTCTAACTTCTGATCTTGCTGTTTTTTCTCCTATAATCTAAGTCTGAAATCAAATAAAGATTTCTGTATTTTAAGGCAAAAGCTGGAAAGACAAAGTGACAGAGCTTCGCAAGAAAATGGCAGACAAGAACACCCGTGCACTTTTTGTTACAGCTTTGGATGAAACAGCATGTGTGTTTTAACTTTAAAACAAAAGTTACATTTAATTACTTTTATTATTATCATTGTTGTTGTTAAAATAATTGGCTGAAGAAAGAATAAGGAATTGGGCATTTATCTAAAAGAAAATTTGTGATTGATGGTGATCATGTTGTTGTTTAAACTTAAGTGGCATAATACAATACAATACAATATTTGGTTAAAGATGTTATTTTGTCATTCCTGTATGTTTTGTGCAAAAATCAATTCAACTACATATTTTTAGGGCTGTTCAATTTACGAGGATCCGATATTGCCTATAATCCATTTTTCATCTCATATGCCATTGTGGAAGAAAATAATGTCAGGTGAGTATGCCTTTCTATTTGATGCCATAAAAATGCCAGACATGTAATCTTATGGGGTGGAAATATGCCTCATTCAAAATTTTAATTTTTTTAGAAATGTATTAGTCCAAATTATGCCCAAAGATTAATCATGCTGATGTTTCTAAACACTGTTCAAGTCTATTGGCAGTTAGTTAAAGTTCATACATATAAAATTAGAACAGGTATTCTCAATAGTCTTTAAAGTCTGTCTTTTGAAATTAGAGTACCTGCAGCCTTCTGCCCCACTAGCAACTGTCTGAACACTACAAACTGAAGCTATAAATTTCTGTACAGTGCAGCTTAATTCAAAATAATGTAACACATAAATTGGTATTGAATTAAGGATACCGAAATAAAAAGAAACGCATATAAATAACCACTATTCATGGAACCTATAGGTAAATAAATTCAAAGATCAGATATATTTTGGCCATGTTGTGCAGAAAGAAATACACATGTACCATCTTAGCACACTAAGGGCTAAATTGCTTCAACCTGTCAGCTAATATTTAATTCCAATGGTATTTTGCAGGTTCTACTTGAGTAATAAGACTGGTCGTCTGACCCCAAAGATTGCTGTTCACCTTAGTACAGGAACTACTGGAGATTGTTCAGGCAAAACTGGTATTTGTGTTCAGGTACAGTAAAAGCAGTTATATTTTTATGATAAAAATATTATTTATTTCTCCTTGATCTAAGCTGATTTAAGTAATAGGACATGCCAGTTAAAAGAATAGAACAAACTGAAGTATAATAATGTTCAAAATTTTTAGGGCCGATGAAAGACACATTTATTGAAGGTCCAATTAATAAAAAGAAATGAAGCAGATTAATGATAAACATTGAATAGTGTTAAATAATGATATTAACATAATGTGTACACCTTAAATATATACATTTAAAATATAATTTTCAAACAAATAGTGCACACATAAAAATATTATTTATTGTCACTTGAAGAATGAAGTATATTCTACCCCTTCTTCTGTAAAGCATTCCTTTTCTTTAAACTTGAAAAGTTCAGTTTTCAAGGTGCTGTCTGTTTGGATAAAAGAATAATTCATTCGGCCCCTTAAGACCCAGTCTTTCACATGAACTAAAAATGAACTAAAAAAAGTGTAAAAAAAGTCTGGGTCATTGTTTGACAATGTCATAGATTAAAAAAATATAATTCCAGAAAAATATTCAGATGCGGCAAAATAACACCATAGTGAATGTAATTTTTACAGGTGAAACCTTATGAGGATGCTCTCTCTGACATGAAGAATCTTAACGATACTAGCTCCACAAAGAAGGTTTGGATCAGCCCAGCCTCCAGCTATGCTGTTTATAGTAGCATACCAGCAAGCCAGGTATTGAAAGAGAGATCTCCTATTCAACTTTTGAAGGCTGTTAAGAATCAGGTGGAAAGAGATGGATACGAAAGATGTCAGGTGTGTAAAATTTTATATTGTGAAACTTTTTACAGGTGACAGAGTGGTACATTATGTAATGAGGTGTTTGTGCTAAATCCAAAAAACATACGGTAGTTAAAAAGGTTTTTAAAAATCAAATGGCAAAAAAATTAAACGTATCATCCTTTGGAATTCAACAACATTTGGTATGCATGCTTTTCTATTTCACTATTTATGTCAGAAAAAAGTACCTAGAAAATTGTTGCAGTAACCTATTTTGAATAGTACAAACACCAAAGGATGTTAATTTAGTAGGAACACCAGACAAAATCTCAGAGAGAAAAGAATTAAATAACACATTAATTTTTCTCCTAAATTGTTTATTTTTATTAATTTTTTCAGATAAGAGATTCAGCTGCTTTGATAGAGTTTCTTGCCATGTTGGAGAAGGATGTAAGTAGATGAACATATAAATGACATATTACCTGTACATATAGATGAAAGCACATAATCTCTCTACAAGTGATGTATAAGTTCTTTTCTAATGAGATGCAATTATTATATATGTAATATCATTTTTAAGTAAATGAAATGAAATAATAAAATATGAGCCAGGTGGCAATGCTTTTTTTGTACAGGGTTGGATTTTTTTCTGTTTATCCTAGGTAAAGAGTGGTAGTAAACAGTGGAATGAAATTTCTGCTGCATCTAAATTAGAAGAGTATAGGCGGTAAGATTTCATACAGTTTCTGCTCAAGTCAAAATACTAGACTTGATACAAATGAAAGACTTAAGTGTGAAAGAGTATCACAGTATGTAATCTTAATTAAGGTGGTCCAATACATAAAATGGCCTAAATTGGTTAAAAAAAGCCTTTTCCTTCTCCCTTCTTATCAAATTAATAAAAACACTTTTGGAGCAAAAATTCCCTTTTTCATTGTATTATCAACCACACTACACATATCTATGTACATGTATCATCACAGATAATTGCAGTTACAAAAATTTTATTTCATTAAAAAAAAACAAAAAAAAACATACATTACTTTCTTTCAGGATGCAACAGTACAATATGGGCCTGAGTTTCAACACCATATCAGCAGTGGGCTCCAATGGTGCTGTCATCCATTATTCCCCAGCACCATCAACCAACAAGAACCTTACAACAACTGAGATGTATTTGCTGGACTCTGGTGGACAGTACTTGTAAGTCTCATGTAATGGAACACTGGTTCCTTAGGACTGTTCAGACTGACACCACATGTGCATATTGGCTCCACTTATGTCACCAGATTACAAATTTACAGTGACATACACCCAATTGTATATTTGGCTCTTCTGAACGTTCTTATGAAGAAATGTCCTTCTGAAGTAAGGAGTGCTAGTAGCTCTCAGTCATTAAAAGAAGCTAAAGTTCTGACATTTTTAGTACAAAAGCAACAAAATCCAAATCCCTTTGCAGCTCAATTTATCACAAAAAAAAAAAAAAAAACATCCAATTATGAAATTATCAGACAAATTTGAAGAGATAGCTTCAAATTGTGGTCATATGGCCTGGTGAGATAGTAAAGTTCTAAACTAAGTTATTGTTGCTGAACTGGAAATGGCTTTTAGATTTATAAATAAAAATATTTCTTTATTTCAGAGATGGCACTACAGATGTCACCAGGACCTTACACTTTGGGACCCCCACTGAGGAGATGAAACAGGCCTACACCCGTGTCTTAATGGGTGCCATTAATTTGGCTATGATGATCTGGCCAGAGGGAACATACGGTAAATATAATACTTTGTTACTCACTTTCTTTTACAAACTATGAAATATATTATTTATCATATAAGAAAAAGATTGCTTTCAAATTTTCATTTTAATTAAAATAAAAAAAGTGAACTCTTTTAACATCTTGGTGTGATTCACTCTGTAAATCTCAAGTTAAATTCCACTTTAAGCTACACGTTAACATCAGTGGACAAGGTAGAAAGAAGTTCTTGGTGATATTATTGAAAATATTTTAGTAAGTTTTATTTTTGAGTTTTTTCTTATTTATTTTATTGTCAAAAGGCCGTGAAATAGACTCTGCTGCCAGGGCACCACTGTGGTCATATGGATGGAACTATCGCCATGGCACTGGACACGGAATTGGAGCATTTCTCAGTGTTCATGAGGGTGAGCTGTCTTAACACTTGGTATTAATTTGTGTGTTACAACAACCCTGAATTTCAAAGCAGGCACTCATTAAATGAATTTAACCATATTTAATTTCATAAGTCCAATTAAGGGGCTGGTTTGTTCTATTGCACTTTAATCATAAAAAAGTGTAATATACCTATTTTGGAACTCAAGGGAAGTTGAAAAGATCTCAATCTAGCATCATTAATTTTTCATACACAGACACTTTGTGTCTGCATATTCTGATCATGTCTGTCCATGTGTTCACTGTCTGCCCTCTAATTGCCAAACTATAATTTTTTAATTAAAATTTACTAAAGATTTTCATTTGATGAAAAGCAGGGTTGAGTTTAAAAAAATATGCATGATCATACAATTTTTTATGAAAGTAAATATACAACATTTTTTGTGTGCATATTTGCAACATTTTTTGTTTGTTGTCTGTATATTTGCCAGCTTTGCTGTCTATTGTATATATATTTGATGGGGGAAATATTTAAATATCTTCTATGAATTATATATTGAAACAGTTACCCATATTATTTCTACATGAAGAACATAAAATATAAAAGCTTAATTTGATTTTTGTAAAAAGAATTGAAAATAATAAACTAGTTCAAATTATGTTTCATTTAATTAGTTGTATGCTTTTTAATTATAACCATGTCATTAACTTTATTTCTTGTTTTAAATGTCATTTTAGGCTATGCCTCATATTTGACTTGATATCTTATTTCTTTTAGTGTACAGTATTTTTTACCTAAAAATATGATTTTACTACAATTTTCCTTATGTAATCTAATGTAAGTTCTGTAACATGAAATGATATGCTCTTAGATGCTGCCAAATCAGAGAACATTTTACTTAGTATAGATGCTTAATCAGGCCTGTTAATACTTCATTTCTGTCATCTGATAGCGTTTATATCCTAATCATTATATGATATATGCAAAAAAACGTGTTATATCTGAACAATGCATTCTTTTCAGCATGAAAATCACCATGATACTCTTTCAAAGCTCCATTTATCTTGCAGTCTTACATCTTATATATATAACGCTTGTTCTACCCAGGTCCAGGCAGAATTTGTCTAGGATCAGTGTGCCCAGTACCCTCTACAAGAAGTGCACTTTATGAACACATGTTCTTTTCTGATGGTATGGTATGGCATATGTACATGTATATATATATGTATGATTATGTTTTTTGTATGTGTGGGTCACAGAAAGTCCTTCTGTAAATTAATCTCTGATGCTAACAATGTGGGGAGCTAACAGGAAAATTCTGCTGACATGGATGTGTGTGGTAATGGTTTCACACCACAGGAAGATACAGTGTATGTAGATGTACTTATCATGCAACTATATGTACCATTGCCTAGGCCATAATAATCTTTGGATGACGGAGGGAATAAAACTGACATTACAGCCACAGTGTTATGTGTACAGTAGCAACAGTTGGTCAGATTGTAGCATTGTGTTTGTTTGGTTGTGTTGGTGCACTGTTTCCAGTGTTTGCTCTCTTACTATCTTTGGGGAGCAACATCAGGCATGAAAGCAAAACATGGATGTGTATTTTTGCATTCCTTATTTGAATGTTTTTTATATTCACTTGGAGAGTGAAATTTTCATATTGGGAAAATTTATTTAATCCTTGAAATTAGCAAACTAAATTACCAAAAGTCAAAGGAATAATGCAGCACATGTACTGCCAATGAACTAATTTAAAACAAATCATTTACAACTTTTGCACATTAACTCAATTGCTATATATTGAAAAAAAAAGACTTTGCACCAACAAATCAAATAGATGGAACACTAACAAGAATTCATCTTAACATAAAAAATACTAACCTGTTAAATTACTCGAAAGCTTAACTGACATGAACAGCATAAAGTTAACATATAACATGGTCCCATGGTCCAAAAGTAATTGGACAAAACATGCACTCATAGTCAAGACAGGAAGACCTGCTGTTAAAGTACCCACATGTATCAACATTTTGTACAAACATTGTGTGAAATTTTGTTCCACCTTGTTTGAAGGAAGGATCTACCAGGGACGTGTTTTTTAAAACATGCAGGAAATACTCCGATTATACAGCTTTTTGTCTTGTCATGCTGAAATGTGATGAAATATGCACTTTCTTTCACAAACTTTGAATAACTTTATTTATCATATGAGAAAAATTGCTTTCAAATTTTCATATACTTTTTTATCATCTTAGTGTGATTCACTTAGTAAATCTTAAGTTAAATCACTCAATTAGTAGCACTTTTGCCAAAGTTCTTGTTGATGTTATTATTTCTTATTGTCAAATGGTCATGAAATTGACAGGAAGTACCTTTAGTACACCCTGTAAGTTTGGGAATTTTGTTTTGAAAAATTGTATAAATTTAATACTTATTCCAAGCACCACTATTATGACAAGTTCAAAATGCCTTCATTTTCACCTAATCCAAGAAAGCAGATACATATAAACAAGAAAAAAGTGAATTAGAATAAACTGATTAATGAAATTGACCTGCACTCCTTGTTACAAAGAACCTCCAAGCAAACTTAAACTGTATCAGTTATATATTAGGGCAGTCATTGGCTTTCCGAATACATGTTCAGATGGAATCCATATTAATTGGCATTCATGGGCAACAGCAGATAGACACAGGTGATAGCTACAACTTGCAAGTATGTAAGCAGCCTATACCTGTATTACAAGTTGGGAAATAACCCAGTGATCATGCAGCTACATGCATCTCCAATACACAAACATCATTTCGGCATGACATCTACTTCCAGATACATTTGTTTCATGCCATCAATCCTGGGCTGGCAGTGCCTCCTGTCCAAGAAATAAGACAAAAAATTACCCTCATGTCTGTTAGAGTCACTATTATTTCAGGATGTTGGTCTCTCACTGCAGCATTTCCAGCAAAATTGTTCAATGGAACAAATTTCTTACCTGGATCCAGGACACATGCCTCATAGACAGTCATTAGCAACACAAAGGAGCAAGCTTCTAGAATTTGAAACAATGTGCTCATTTTGTTTTGTCCAATTTCAGGTCCCCCATATACTGTATATAAAGCATATAGTGTACGGGATGGTCCTTTTGCTGCTGGCATGTTTTTGTCAATCGGTATGTTTCTTGTCAAATATTCTGACAAGATATTGCATGGTCTTGCTGTCTTCCCAATTCTCTCCTTATGCAATTGCAGCCTTGTGGCAAAGAAATATCACTGACTCATCCACATAACAATGTTAATACCACACTGTATAAAAGTGGATATAGCTGTTAGCACTGGCTGCACACACCAAATGCCTGTGAAGTTGCCCAAAGCTGGGCTTGTAGGCCTAATTCTTTTAAAATTTGTTCAGTAACTGGCCAGTGTCTACTTATGGCTATTTAATTCTTTGGCTCTGATGTCCCCAAGGGCACAGACTGATAAAGACTTGCCTGGATCAAAGGACAACACCTATAATACTGTACTTATATAGAGAAAGGACTGCTGTTTGTCCTGGTACAACTAGTGCCAGATCTTGATGGCAACCAAGATTTCCACATGTGTAAAATGGAAATCAAAATGCATGGTGCCTTCAAATTTTGAATTGGTTCTTGGTAATTACCTACTGGAGTCAATTACATACAGATGATGAAGGTTTCAAGGATGAATTAAAGCAATGCAAGAACATTGCTGAATGCTGTAAAGCCATGTCCTTGATGGAACAAGTTGAATTCATCCTTTGGACAAGCGCTTTTCTCTTCTCTCCCTAACCTACATACCTGTTTTAATTTTGCATGAATGCTTTCTGAATAAAAAGTCTGTTTAAGCTTTACTAGCATTTAGTTGCTACAATGTTGGCCCTGCCTGCAGAAATTGCTACAATGTTGGCCTTGCCTGCAGAAATTGCTACAATGTTGGCCCTGCCTGCAGAGGAAAATGGCTTGGTTTACCTCTGCAATGGGAATTTTCTAGTGTGTCTTCCAGAAAATAACATAACTAACATGCATGTTTATAGGACCAGCAAGCATTTCCTCTGGTACTAGCCCTTTGCGATCCCCACTATATGAAGGAATGTTTTTGTCAGATGGTATGTAAAGAATAATGTGTTTGAAATATTCTGGTGGAAGTTTAAACTAGTTACAGATAGAATTTTAAACGAAAGCTGTTCAATGTCAAACACAATTGATGAAAATAAAAGCATCATTGGCATCCTCAACTATGTTTAACAGCCAGCTAAGACTGTACAGACATTTATATTAAATAAATTTGGTAACCTTTCTCATTATAAACAAAATATACAATGGGTAGAATTAATCATACAGATGTAAATATTTGTTTAAATGTTATTTACTAAATACTATCCTATCTCTAACATACATGTTCACTATGCTTAAATGGTCATTTCAAATTTCAGTTCAGTTTTGATTTATTTAAATATTAAGATGAACAGCACATTCTAAATTGTGTAAGATACCATGATATCATTAACATGTTTTTCCTGTTCTTTGTTTTGTGTAAAAATTATTATACTACAGTACTGATTAATATTTCACCTAATTTTTCTAACTTGAATATGTACGTATATATTATAAATACCCACTATTTGTATCTACATGCACACCTTTACAACTACCTTTTGTCTCATTGCAGAACCAGGTTACTATGAACCTGACCAGTTTGGAGTCCGTCTAGAGACTATAGTCATGGTGGTCAAAGCAAATACACCAGTAAGTAATTTTGGGCAAGATGCTCTAGTATAGTATCAGGAATCATCTCCCTTTTTAAAACATTTAAAAAAACTGCAAACAAACATGTCATAAAAAGAAAAAAAAAGAGTTGTTTACAGCAGCATTTGTATTACATATTGAAATGGGCTGTTATATTTCAGAACAATTTTGGCAACAAGACTTACCTCACTTTTAAGCCAGTTACACTGGTTCCCTTTGAGACTCACCTTATCAAGTATGATTTACTGGATGACAAACAAGTAAGTAACATACGGTTTATTCAATGCCTTTACTTAATAAGTTAAAACATTTGAACATAACTTGGATATATGGAATATCTAACATACTCCCTTTCAATCTTTTATTATTTTTTAAATTTTAAAATGCAGTCAGGCTCATTGGTGATGATGTGTTGTGGGTATCAAAATGTCACAATTCTATCTTAAATGGAGTGACAATATCCTGACAGAGCAAGTATGTAGTGACTTCACATTGTTTAAGACCCCATTCCCATAGACACGTCAGTGATCTACGTGGATTGACCTAACTCCCCATGGTCTCCTGCTAAGTGCAATTAGCTTAACTGAATGCCACACCTCCTCTTGTTTCCCATCGTGTTTGTATAATCACCAAGTTTTCTGTATTCTACTTATTAGGAGAAGGTGCGTTAATCTGTTAAGCAGATGGGACTTAACACGAGTTTCTGCAGAATGGGGTCGATCCCCATAGGCCGATGTATCTAGGGGAATGGTCCTATAATCATAATGAATCTCTCTGCCTTTCTTTTCTTCTTTCATATGAAGTGATCATATACAAAACAATAAAACAAAACATTAAACATTCACTTATTTTTTATATCAGACAAAATGGCTTAATGACTACCATGCCGAGTGTATGGAGAAGGTTGGCAAAGTCCTGCAAGCAGCTGGCAAGACTGAGGCGTACAAGTGGATGGAGGCCCGTGTCCAACAGATTTCTACTAGTGGACAGGCATTTTTGACAGCCAACATGCTGTTGGCATTCTGTTTGGTGGTTATAAGTAGAGTACTGTAAGATGCAGAACAAATATTTTTGTGTAGTTTTATCATGCTTTTAAGTGTGCCATTTTACTGTTTGTTTTATAAACTGCAGTTTGTTTGCTAAAATTAAGATTTATCTTTCCTATAAGGTTTGTGATTTTCAGAGAAATATTACATAAAAGACATAGTCATGAGCATTATGTCCCAGCTTGTACATCTTTTGATAGTGTGGGGACTTTTTTTACATCAGACGTTAGACATACTTACAGTTGTGTTCTGTGGATCTATGAAGTGTTATTGGCATAAATATACATTTTCAATAATTCTTGCCAGTTGTGCCACAACATAGTTAAATTTATATGAATTTTTTCATTTTACCTCAGAATTCAACTCAATGTTTGATAAACTGAATATGATTTTCAACATTGTCAAACCACAATTTTTAAAAAATTATTCTAAAATTGGACATTTTTGATGCATTCTTAGTCATGAACAAAAGTGAAGTTCATTTATAAAGTGAAGTTCAAATAAAAAAATGTCTTTTAAGCAAAGAACAATAAAAGAGTATACATTTTTACCAATTTTTGTTACATGACCAAAATGATTAATACATTTTACAATCAAAAATTGCTTTTAAAAATATCAGCTTTAAAAAATGATAGGAATTCATTCACTTCAAAAAAATAAATTTAAAGTTTATTTTACCTACATTTACAATTGTACACCTTTTATAATTGACTTTTTGATTAAGAATGGTTTGCATTAAAATGCATATTAAAAGCAGAGAGATTTTTATTGCAATGATAACTTAAATATTTCGTATGGCTACAATGAAGTATTTAATAATTTTTGTCACCAATTGTTACATTTTGAAAATAAAAGCTTCAAATTTGTTTTAATTTTGCTGTTGAAGTGTCTTTTAAACTTCTTCCCAACAGAAAGCACCAAACTGTGTTAGAATGTCGAATTAAAAAATATGAAAAGTATATCCATTGCACTGACCAACTTTCAAGAGAAAATGTAAAAATGCACAATGCATCTAAGATTCCAGTTTATCATTTATAAAAGGCATATCTCCACCTGTTTGTCAGATGCTGTAAAGCTCACATGATTACTGATATGAACTGCCATAAAATTAACCATCATATAGAAACTTGCTCTGGGCCAAAGTAAAACAAAGGGCACAAGAAAATCTAGTTGTTATACAATTCTGTCTAATAGTATGTAGATATGCCTGTACTTTTAAATTTAAATTATACATATTTTGACATATCCTTCTAACTAAAATTTAAAAAAAGTGACAGTTGTTGTAAAGTTCTTAAACATTAAAATGAACAATATAAAATATTACAAAAAAAATTATTCGAAAAATCTATATCACTGTTCAAACATCAATAATGCAATGAATCTACATTATGCAAGAATAATTGGTTGTTTTGAACAGCTCATGTATTTCAGCTGTATATGATGAAAAAACTTTCAAATAATATGTTTAAACAAGAAAAGAGCAAGGTATGACAATCAGTATAATACTTAAAAGCTTCTGTCCCACTTAAAAAGCCATGAGGAGCCCAACTTCTTGAATCCCTCATGGTATTTCTCATGGGGAAAATGGCATTCTTATCCAACCTGGCACATAATAATAACATAAAATATCTGAGAAAACCAGCATGTGTACATATAGATTTTTAGGAACAGAGGTCTAGACTGGAACATGACTGAACAATCATTTGATCTGTCATCTTTTTGAAGATGTCCCCCATTAACATATCTTAATTACTTTAAATTTGCTCCCATGTAAGCTGTTTTTTTTTGTTTTTTTTGTACTGCACATAAATTATGAAGCAGTCAGGCCTGCACAATCCTTCAAAAGCACCAATTTAATACATAAGCACCATGCCATTTATATATATGCATAAAGAATTGTATTCCTTGATCACATTTGCAGGGGCAAAGGGGGGGGGGGGCTCTATTACCTTTCCTGTGAGACTGCAGACTCTAAAAAGCTGTATTCTGTCGATGCATTTTAGGACTCCTATTGTTGGACATAGAGAAGTTAGAGAAGATATTGAGTCGAATTGGGTGTTTCAAGCTACAGGCAAAATCATGTAGTTATAAAAAATAAAATTCCCATGCTCCATTGTGAGTAGTTATTGATATTATGTTTAAATCTGAAATTCACTCCATCTTTCCTAGCAACTGGATATACTCCTCAGCAAAAGGACACTGAAGTCCATCCAGAAAAATGTTACTTGTTGGCACGTGACACATACCTCATCTGCTTTCATGGACTGAAATTCAGAAGATTCACTTCACAACCTTGAAACTAGCACTGAGGATATTGTTGGATGCACTACTTTGCATTGGCTGCTGTCCTCCTGCATACACCTGGATAATTCCTGATTAAAATACAGAAATCCAATTGCTGATATTATTCTTTCACCATTGTTCATCTAAATGAAAAACTGTTCACTTTTGTAGGATTCTTTTACACAACGAATAATAATTATGACAACAGAATCTCTTAATGCTTATGTGCCAAGTGTGGTATTCTATACTGTGTTGCATGATGTAAGTGAATACAAACTTGGATAACAATAACGCTAACACTCATTGTTAGGTATACCTCATATAGACCACATTTCCAGTAAAGCTGTTTTGACTTACTGCACTACTACTGAGTCAGCCAACAATAAGTTTATGATATCTCACAATTAGAATAAATCCAAACTAATGGCATTGGATTTGACTCATTTACATTTGAGGTGGGCAAAATAACAAAGGGATAATATTTCTTGGCTGTCTTATTAGACTATTATCACATAGCCTGCTAACCTGACTGAAAATGTGACCTTATATGTGCAATATATCTATGGGCTGGGACTGGTCCATGTTTTATCATGGTAATTACTTATTAAATTTGATTTAAGTCAAAATACATTTCCATAACCGATGCCTTTGTCAGCATTACTTCAAATGTTGATGCATAAGGTTTGAAATATCAGTAATGAAGATACCCAATTATAACACTTACCTGGTTCAACAAGAAATCCAAATGTTTCATTCCACACAGCCATTTCATCAGCTGTTATTGTAAATTTGTACTTAATTTCTTGTAGACTTTTTATAAATATTCTCTTGAATCCTACTAGTTGGACCCTGGGCATTTTCTCCTTTGTATCTGGCCAGGATATATATAGCTGAATAACCTGGGAACAAATTATAAAAGAGCAGCTGACAATTTCTCCTTAAAAAAAAACATGAGAAAATGTGTTCCATGTGGCTATATAATCAAGTAAATATAAAGCGCATAAACAAGGTGTGAATATTCTGAAACAGTCAAAAAACTGGATGTGTATGCCTATAAACTGAAAGTATGAAATAACTAATTGACAGGTATTTTTCAGAATTACAATTTCTTCCCTCCAAAAACTTTTTTTTCATATCTCACACATATGCAAAAGAATAAATAAATAAGTGAACTTCACAACTCAAAATCCTTGAACTATATTGGTAAAAGTGGAAAGGGCACTATAAGAGAAGACAAATAATGCTGCATAGGGGGAAAATACAATGGGATTGCTCTTCCATTAACAATAATATACCTCATCTCCATCATACATTCCTGTGTTGGTCAGCCCAACTGTGACTGATACACTGCCCCCTGCTAGAACAGTCTGTGGCCATACATCTATTGCAGTATAGCTAAAGGTGGTATAGGATAACCCATAGCCAAATGGGTACTGTAAAGATCCCTCAAAGTATCTATATGTTCTACCTGCCATGCTGTAATTGTAGATTGAGGGAACCTGAAATAATGTGTGCCATACATGTTCAGTTTGTTTTTTTACTTTCATGTCAAAAAATTTTCATGAAAAAATGCAGTAAGATTATAGCTTATTTTATTGCCATTATCAAAATCTATTGCAAAAATTCATTTATATTATATCTTTTCAGACTGCAAGTTGAAGAAATTCTAAAAAGTTGCTATTTCAAAAAAATTATTGTCCAATGCCCATAAAATTGCAAGAAGAATGTAAACAATAAGCTAAAATAAAAGAACTGTATAGAGTCTAATTTAAATCAACTCAAAGACTTCAAAACCAATGCTATTACACTAGATATAAATCTGATATAGCTGCTACCTGGCTTAAATATGTTGGCCATGAGTTAGGCAGCCTGCCAGCAGGATTGGCCTTGGGATCCTCCAACCACAGCACCCGTCTGAGAGCCTCTCCTGTGGCCTGCCCAGGGAAGAAACACTCCAGGATAACTGGCACTCTGTCATTGAGACTCGCTGCAGAAATTTCTAGTGGTCCCGCATTGAATAAGAGCAGGACAATTGGAATGCCATTAGCTGAAATACAATACATTGAAATATGGAGGTTGTCCTAAAACAAGTTGAACTTGTTCTGGTCACAATCTTTTGACAAAATCAAACAAAAAAAAACAAAAAACAAAAACAATTGTGCCGATACTGCATTTGACATGAATTCAAATAACCAGGATGTATCCAAACCACAACTGTTTGCCACAGAGGCAAGAACTATGTTACAATCTAGTGTCACCTGGTGATTGTAACAATATTTCTATAATACCTGCTTGCATGACATCTTTCAAAAGCTGAGGCTGATTTCCAGGAAGCTGAAGGTCTGTGCGGTCCTTGCCCTCTGTTTCTACCATAGTACCTGAAATATAACTGGATTCAAATATTCTTCTAATCATCTTGCTTTTAAAGATTGTATTCAAAGAAAGAAGAAGGTCCAAGATAGAGTAACCATCGTGTGAACTGATTTTTTAAGTATCAAGTATAATGGATCATGGAAAATTTTGTTTCTTCGCATATATTTCCATTGCTTCAGAGAATAGCCGACTTGAAAATAAAACTAACTGGCAAGTCATTAACTGTATCTACTGGTAGTGATCATGCACATTACTTTCAGGCAAAAACTACACAACTGTAGCCAGATTGAGGTGGACAAGGCTTCCTTATAATTATTTACTTGATCTCTCCCTTTGGCGTGTACTTGACCCCTGTAACAAAAAGTCAACCTTTGACTACAGAGCTGGATTAAATTATATATTTTTTCAAATCAACTAACCTGTCCCTAAACAAAGAAATATAATTTGTGTTTTGGATACAGTCTCTAAAATTGTCTCATTGTTGTATTCTTCGCATCCGGTGTCTTTGCAACCAGCTGTAAATTTTGTGTACAGAGCTTTGGTCCTCAATGCTTGTAGGGGGTTCAGTGCTACAGAAGTGTCGATATTCCCAGAATAGTCTCCAAATAATTGGTCAGTGTTATTTGCCATAGGCCCAATAACCTGGAAATGCAAACTTCAATTTGAGAAAAATGACAAAGTTCAATGACACATTCAAAGTAATGTGTAATATCATGAGATGTAATCTAGCTTTATGCAAACCCCTCTTTCAGTAATGTTTACTGAAAAAAAATAAAGGAATTATCACAACAGGTCACACTTTTCCTCATTTTGTTTTACTTTTGGACCCTTAGTATAGTAATTGTAATCACAAAAAGATCAACCTGTAAAACATTTCGAAAAAAAAAATTCAATGCTGGAACACATAAAAGATTTAATAAATACTCACAGCTATGGATTCAAATGTCCTTTGAAATGGCAGAAATTTATCTGTATTTTTGAGCAGCACAAAACTCTTCACTGCTGCCTGCACTGCCAGTTCTCTGTGTGCCAAACTCTGAACTACAGAGATATCAACTTTACTGTATGGATTCAATTCAGGAGGGTCAAACTCTCCCAGTCTCATCCTAGTATAGAAGAGGGGCTTTGCTTTTTCTTTCACTATATCAAATGTCAGTTTTCCGGCACTGACTGCTTTAGGAATAGACATGAACACGCCATCTTGAGCCAAGCGGTGAGGCAACTCCAGGTTTGTCCCTGCCATAACGCTTGCTGAAGCAGTGTCCACGGTGTTGTTGTAATAGCTGAAGACAGAGATGATGAATTCCAGTGCACCCATATCACTGATGACGTACCCTTTGTAACCCCACTGCTGCCTCAGTATGTTATCAAGCATTTTACTATTGACACATGAAGGGATTCCATTGACTCTGCAACATAGACGTAATGAGTGTTCCATGTTCATAAACCATGTACTTCATTAGTCTCATGTTATATCACAAAACTTGTAAATGAACATAAGATAACTGCAATCTTACAATGTCTTTATTTATCAGAAGATCTGCATGCTACAGAATAAACCCAGATATGTGTGTAATGAGCCTTTTCACATGACAAACTTTAATATCATGGCGCAATTTAATTTCTTTTTTGTTTTTCACATACTTATTGTAACTGCACATGAAGCCCAGGCTGCCAGACTTCACACACTGCTTGAAAGCAGGAAGGTAGGTGAGGTGCCAGTCACGCTCTGATATCTGAAACATTGTATTCAATAAGTAATGAAATCTAGCCACATTTAGTGAGCAACTGAAACACAAGTACTAGACTAGTACAAAAATGCATTATGAAATAATTAGTCTGATGGAATAACAGAACAGTTTCCAGATATTTATACATTTTGCCTTCGTACCTTGCAAATTGGATACACTGCAAATTTGTGTTATGAGTTCATGTTCATAAACACATTGGGATTCAGAGAGCTTCTTATGTCAAAGTTTAAAAAAAAATGCTTTGTTGAATAACCTTACAACAATGAAACCTAGGAGTATTTTGTTTTACATCAGTGCTCATGCCAGTGTCATTAAAAAAACGATCCTCGTATAAAAATGCCCTTAACAACCCTCAGATAAGTAAGACCTAAGCATATTTTTTTCACCTCAGAATCATATAAAGAAGAGTTTTCTGGTCCAGAATAAGCATCAAAATGTTTGCACCCAGCACTGGCCAGGACATATCTGGGGTGGTCACCCTGTAGGCCACGGACATAATGGTCAGTATAAACACTGGTCAAGTAAGGATCCTCTCCATAGGTTTCCTAGAAAAAGAGTTTAACGAATACTTTATTGCTGGGAAAATTTTAATGAACAAAATGACACAATCTAAAGGCGTTCATCTAGGAATATTTTTAAAACATTAATACAGTAGTCACCTTATGTCATAACTGACTCAGTGAGACTTGAAATATAGATTATATATTGCACAACCTTATGTACAAATGTAAACTGGAAAATGGAATTTTGAGTTTACCAAAAACTACATCATTTTTTGATAAAATTTGATATTGCCTTATGTTGACATAATTTTAAAAACCACTTATTCAATAAAAATGCAGAAATGAGAATCAAGTCAAACTGATTTTAGGTCGCTGCTCCTCTGTAATAAAAATGCAAAATAAAGCAGTACAATACCTGACAATAACTTATACAATGTACATATTATTCGAAACTTACTTGATTTCTTCCCCACAATGGATGTCTCATGATATTCACAACTGGGCTGAAGCAGGACAGTCCAGAGTCATCTCCATACTGACCATACTTGGTGTGGTTATTGTGAATAGCCCGTACTTCCATGCCTATTGCTCTAGACACATTGTAAATGAGTTCGGGACTGAAAGAAAAGTATAGCTTTAAACATCATTTTGAGATATAAATGTATATCACTACGTTATACACTTTAATTTGTAAATAAAGTTTAACTTAAAAAGTTACAATAAACTACAATGCACTTTAGTTCACACCGTATTTCATCTCTAAATATATTTTGTGTTGCATGCTTTCTGCCCCTCTCACTTATGCCTTCATCTACTAAGCGTGACACAAGGCGCACAAGAACGAAAAACTTCTAGTATCAATGATGTCCATGACATCTTTAAAAAAAAAACAAATAAAGAGAACTGAACATGGAAAGCGTTAAAAAGTTTAGAGTTACATCACAAATTTTTGATCCAGAATCATACCTGAATGCAGCAGCTAGTCCGAGAGACTGTGGGAACGACGTGGACCTTCTAGCATGCACCACACCGTGCAGGCACTCCTGTGTCCACATGTACGGGTGAATACCCAGGCGAGGGATTCCAGGCGCCTGACCCGAAGATTCCCTTCCACCGCTAGCCATCTGCAACGTTAACTCATCGATGCTCAATCGATCCACCAGATCGTTCACGCGATCCTCCCAGCTTAACGAAGTATTTCGGAAAGGTAAATCGGCTATTAGTGGAAGAATTGACGAAAATAAAAACCAAAACACCACGGCGGCCTCTCCACACACCGCCATGTTTAGTAAATTTCCTCATCACGTGAGATGTTCTAAATTTAGCTTGCTGAGAGGTATCCCCAAGATCCCTGATTGTGGCACCCTCGGATGTGTATTTTTTTTTACTAATATTTATTAATATTTATTTATTTCATTTTGAAAATATAAAGCTTGAATTCAAAGTCGTAATGATGTCCGGAAAGCGTTTTTGGATATTTATGAGTAGGGCCTAATTGATAGGTCTAGCTGCAGAATGATTTTGGCGGCATTACAAATCAGTTGGAAAACAATAAATGAAAGGCCTAACTGAACTACATGGGCGCCAGGCGGGGTACATGGGGGGTTTGATCTGATATTTTCGTCTTTATTGTTGTTATTATTATTATTAGTGGTAGTATATTATAAATAAAAAATAATTAATCAATCAATTAATGTATTTTGGGAGGAGAGTTACATGTGTAGTCAAACTGACCCTGATAATAATCGTTGCGTTTGCAATAGGACAGTATTTACAAGTAATTTGGCGTGAAGAACGTGAAAAATCAGACTGCGATTCAAAAAGTTAACCATGGTTGAAAAAGTTTAGACAATTGTAAGGATTAGCGTGGGAGATTTACGGCGCTCGTTGGTATTTGACTGAACACTCATGATCATGTATCGTAATGAACACTTGGAGAAATCTGACTTATAAGTTAACATGGAAGATAAAGTCTGGATTGAGGATTATTTAAATAAGTATCTTTGCAAAAGCCAAAGTTTATGAATAAATGCCAGACAACCAAAGTTATGACCTCGAACGAAGTCGATATTTGGCTCAATAATATTTCGATTGCTTTGATTTTGATCGGTAAGCTCTGTATTACTGACTGTAGCTCAATTAAAAGATACCGTTATTTTTCTCGGTGCTGTATGATAGCTTAGGGAATTTACATGTACTTGGATTGCACACGAAGTTTCCCCTTTCATCAAATCGGTATTCTTTTTACTCAAAGAAGTCATACAGCAAGTCTTTCTGTTTCATACAGCGACTCCTTCCATTGATGTAATCGTTTTCAAGCAGGATTTTGATTTAATCGACGGTCTTTTCTTTCAAGTTTTTCATTTCATGATTGATTAAAATCAATTACCGAATTTCAAGTTTGCAAGGTTGATACTGTTTGACTTGATATAACATCATACGAGTAATTTGTTGTATGGAACATCAAAAATAATCACCAACGCAGATACTAACTTTCATTTAAATCACATTCTATCACACAACCCCTTTGAAGTTATTTCAAGCACATATGACGATTTACATACTTAATGAAATAACTGTTCACGTTAAAAATAAATCTGAACATGCCGTAGTCGTTTTTTCTTATTAAAATAATAAGGCATACTTAGAATGCGCTTTGAAACGTCCATAATTGACCAAGAACGCAATCAGCAACTAAAATGTTTAACAAAAAATCTTACAAGTCAAGGCTCCTGGGGTATACATTTTGAATGGCGGGTTTTTAGCCAAAAAGTCTTAAAATTTGATAACGTTTGCTAGCGTGAAAATATATATTAATTTTTTTATATATTTGTAGAAATTATATTTGTGATTTGCAGGAAGCACTATACAGTACAAACGAAGAAAATTAGTGTCTTTATTTAAAATTATTTTCAAAATGTACAAGCGTATTTACACTCCATGGGACAAAATTTGCAATGAGATCGAAACTAATCCCAAACAATTATCTACTCCATTTTTACATTAGAAACTAGATTTTTGCATTCAAATTAGATTTAGCTTATCATAGTATAAAAACCTTTACTTACAGCGATTATCATTTAATTAATAAATATATACAAAACAATATACGATTCAATGGCTGTTTTGAAATGTTTTCGTAGTTGGGTAAATCGCCTAGTACACTGCAAACAAGGAGGGGTCGTAGTTGGGGGACTCCTTTCTCCGTGAAGTCTTGCTATTTGAAGAGGAAGAGAGCTTAAATTTCCCTCGAGTTTAAGGATGTTCCCGCCGACCTGGACCGTCATCTCTCATGATATTCCATAACGGTAAGAGCTGTCATGAAAGTCCCCGTGAGTTCTCTGAAACTCAGGTAGCAAAAGTGTTTATTGAGCTTTAAAACCTCTCAAATTAAAATGATTGAGACGACAGCAAAAACTAGAAGTCCTAACAAAAACTGCATTCCATTTGTTTTTATCGTCTGAGCTTTGTTGCAGATATTGGAAAGGCATGTGCAATCGATCCGCTTTTCCGTACTTTGAAGGAGGCATTCGTCGCGCACGGGGCGCTGTGAGGAATACACTGCGCAGTCACGTGACACGGTCCTGGTGAGAGTGGTGTCTGGAACGTTAACGATATATAATTTACAAACAATGTTGCACAATTGATTTTTCAAGTAGAAGAACTGTATCTATATTGAAATATATCTAAAGACAGAAGATATGTTGTCTTGAGTGCCTTTATTTTAACTCCTTCAAAATCCCACCATTCTTAATAAATGGATTTAACATCAGAAACAAACATCAACCTTTTCAAGAAAAAAAGAAAGAAAGCTGTTTTATCTTTAAAACACTTCAGCGTGACTTACCGCCTCCTTTGTAAGCAATGTAATGAAAAACACGTCTAGTGAAAACGATAAAATTATTGACCTAACACTTTAAAATTAATTACTTTTACAATATGTTACTTTCTTCCAAAGCGCACATCTATGCCAAGCAAGACAAAGGCAACTTAGCTAACTCAGAATTTAAAAAATGTAAATCAAAATTTCTTTCTTTCACAAAATACTACAGTTAACGTATTTGAAATATAATTGTCTACAATTTATTATTATACAGACCTATAGCACCTGCAGGACTGCTACTAATAATAGTTTTTCTGCATCCGTACAGGCACCCAGTGGTGTATATGTTCATGTGCCAGAATTCACAGTCAACACACTTGTAGCATCTGTAACCTGTCAAATGAAATTCAATTAGGTATAAATAACAAATATGTTATAAATGATAGTTTATGTAAAAGATGAGACAAAGTAACCCTTTCAATAACAAATAGCTTATCAAAGTGGCCCAAAAATTTGGAAAAGACTAGATGGCCAAGATTTTTCTTTCTATGCGCTTTTTGAAAAAAGCCTCAAATATACTTGATGACTTAAAAAGTGGTACAAACAATTTCGTACAGTAATTGAAAAACATTTTTTGTTTCAAATGCATGTCCTGTGTAGCATTATAGGACAGTTCCCTTACAAAATATTCACTCAACAGTTATAGCTTTCTCTTTGTTCCCTAATAATGTCATTCGTTTTCAGGTGTCTGTACTGATCACATGATCAGAATTTACCAATGGATCCATGAAATGGACTGAATTTAACACCATCTATCATTCAATATCTTTTTTAAATCTTGATTTTCTATAATAAGGTGAAGCACGAGGAGGGGGGGGGGGTCTTACCTCGTCTCTGGTTATGTATGGTGCATCCAGCTCTCTCCCAAGATTCATCACTCTCATCTATACAATCGGCTTCTCCGTCACACATATACTTAGGATTGATACACTCTCCGTTCTTGCATTTGAATCCATCATATTTCCCGTAGTCGTGTTCACAGGATTCGTAAGCAGACACTGGAATTATACATAAAGCGTATGATAAAAGAGAGACGTGGTAATATGAAAAAAAAGGGGAAAGAGTCCCATGTCCCGTTAAGGTTTTGCAATTACTTGTCTTCAGGCATTAAAACGTGCGTTATAATAGTATTTATGTGCACAGCATTATGAAAGAAATCGCAGATTTCATTTTCTTGCCGTCGCATTTGCACCTTCAGTCCAGTCAAGAACCCACAATATACACTCATGATGGGTCTAAGGTGAAATAAAAAGAAATCGTTACACCCGTTTTATCGCGTGTATACATTTCATATATGTAGGCGGATAGAAATTGACAGGTATAGAAACATCTTCGGAAAATGGGCTGATGAAAAATGCGACTTGACTATCAGTAAATTAAAGTTAAACGTCAACAGGACATCAACTGAGTTCCAAAATATCACTCGCATTAAGTGCCAACTTCATATTTAGGTCACAAATTCAAACACGACTTAAACTTTGTTGCGTGTCGAGAGTTAAATTAAGCACTCACCTGTACCAGTTAAAAGCACCAAGACGGCTATTAAATATGAATTTTTCACATCCATTGTTCTCTGCCCAGTATTCAACTGGCAAACATCACAGGACGAAGAAGACAGGGTCTGTTTGACATCATAGCAAGCCCTCTCTCCGGTCGTTCTCCATTAGTCACAGCTACCGATGTGCGCATGCGTCAGGTATAAAATGATGGTGACAAAGCACACCTGAATTAATTCCTGTAAAATGTGTTAGTTGTGCTGTCAACTTTAAGGCGGGAGACGGGAGGAAAGATGTGTTCGCGTCTTTTCTAAATGGTTACGCACTAGTAGACAATTATTTTTTCACGATCTTATACTTAATGGGTTAAATGAAAATAGCGTTACAAGAGCACTTAACAAATATCTGTTTTTTACATGGTTTCAGTTTTTTTATGGATAAAAATCCCTTGATTTTTGCTATCAGAAAATTCAAAATGGCATTATGTTCGGCTCGTTCTGTTATTCAAACATATTTTCTGGATTAATCGTTATGTCTCACTTCATCATCATCTTGTCAATTTTAGAATAGTCATCTTGTTTCTTTGGGCAATATAAATACCTACATGTAAATGTATTCAATTAATAACCCATTTAACATCTTTTAAAAACAATTATCTTTGCATTGGTTTTTGGTAAACAAATTGTCAATGACACATAGTCAACGACATATGTGATTTTGCATAATGAAAGGTTCTTTTACACCTTCTTCTTTATCATGTGATGTAGCCAGTATCTTTGTGTTTTTTTAAAAAGAATTTCTATCACATCAGGAAGACAATTTTTTCAACAAACCATTTATTATCTTCACAGCCTATGTTACATAACAGTTACATGTATTATGAAGAATGTAGTATTTAACTACATAATAATAATAAAAACATTCTTTCCTTAACAAACCACACCAACAGTTAATTTTAAAATGATTTTGTTAATCTCTCTACCTATAGCTAAAAAGGTGCTCTACACAAGCTTTCCACAAACATAAAATATCACATTTTTGAATTATAGAATTTGCCATTTTTTTTAAACTTGAATGATTTTAGGGAAAAGAAATGACATCTTAAATATTGTCAAATAATACTGCAATGAAGTAATAGCATTTATTACTAGTAGTAACCTTCACAAATTTTCATAAAACACTTTTACAAATAACTCAGTTCAAACAACAGTATACTGTGGCAAACAAACAAACATTCTGTAAACTTTTAGGTTTTAAAAGTATCTTCAGGTTCTTTAAATAAAATCTCTACATGTAAAAATCTTTGTTATTGACACATCAATGTCACTGAGTAGTGATAGTGGGTATAGTTATGTGCAGTGTAAGTCAAGAAAGAGATATCTGATTGCCCACTCCCTTGGTTCCTATACTTATTGTCCATTAGGTGGCATACATACATATATGTATATATATATTTATATATATTATAATTTTGCTCCATGTTAAGATTCCTCTGCCTGCTCCTTCTTTTTTAGTTCCTGTCTGTAACTGGAAAAGAAAAGAAAAAAGGTTTAATTCTGTCTGACAATAATAAAATACCAGCTCACCACACTTAAAAGAAATCAAAATTATGCAGGTTATCATGTACATGGTAGTCCCTGAAGTTCACGTACTCTTTCTATTTGAATAAAAACACATTCTAAAAAGATTTCCAAATGTTGAAAAATAGGTACAAGGTACGTTCTAGTTTACAAATGTGAACATTGTACATTGTTTTGCTGCAATTAAACCTTGGAATTACATGGGTGTATACCAACACCTTATCCAAACTTCCTTTTTTTTTTTTGGGGGGGGGGGGGGGGGAAGCAAATATCACCAGCTATATCGTTTCTGGTAACAGCCCATTTCATAAATATAATTAAATATGATGCTGAGAATGGCTTGTGTGTGCTGGGTCATACCAGTAAACCCCGATTGCCACTGATGATTTGCAAGTTTTATGAAGTTTCTCTGATCAATAAGCTTGGTTTACTTCCCTTGCAGCTGCCCTTTGCATATGTCTCCACTAATTGCCTATTTCTATGCTCTCTGGATAGACATTAATACTGAACTGCAGTGTAGATGACACAACAATGGTTTGAGGTAGCAGCCACTGATTGAGAAAAAATGGTGCTGTAGTATTACAGTGTATAAAAACATTCTACGCTGAGATAATACAAGATATGTGATATCACCGTAACAAGATGGGGGGATCACTGACCTCCATGTCAGTGTGGTTTGATTACATCAAGGTATGGTTAACACCTCTCTCTGTCTGTCTCTCTCTCTCTCACTGTGTGTGTGTGTTTTATAGTAACTGGATGTTCACATTTTCATAGCAGTTATGATTCTGATGATAAAACAAAAACTAAAATGTATTAAGGCCTATGTGCTATGGTGGATACTATTATGTATCTTACTTGACTATAATATAATACTAGTACGTGACCTTTTGCATGAATCTATCACATCTGATTTATGTGAAATGAAGGAAAATGATATGTTTATACCAAGGGGATAATTAAACTGATGTTTCACATGAAAACCTCAGGGTCATATTTTGAGGCCATAATTAAACAGTCAGTAGTTCATCAGAGCTAATTTGCAATACAACCTACATCAGGCCTACCCAACTACCAGACTCGGCACCGAATGATCCTGAATTCACCAGTAGATCAGACCACACTACTCGTTTTCAAGGTGTGTGTCAGATCGCATTACACAGTATCAGACGCGACACCGCTCTTGCCTAGTACACGATGTGATAGTGACGATTCTCAGTGGGGTTGAAAAGCATTGCATCACCGCTCAAAATTTGTTCAGGGTATGATACTGTGTAATGTAATTTTTTATCCATAAATGTTCTAATTCACTGACAAGCTAAAGGGACATAAATGAATACAGTGCTTCTGCCATACCCTCATCCTCAAAGATGTTTTTTCCTGACACTTTTAAAGAAAAAAGATATTATCAACCTTTACAAAGAAACTTTAAAAAGTTGCTATGAAAATAATGTTACTTCCACAATACACAAAACTCATTATTGCCACCTAATTACTAGAAGAGATGGACATACCAGCACTGACTAAATGACTTCTTCACATAGTACATAAGCTCTTGGGACTCATTCATTAAATGACTGTGACAAATGTCAATTTTCTGCTAATTACAAGCATTTTTGTGTGACTAACTGCTGTATGTGAATCACATTCATGATTAATAGTTGAAATTTACCTAAGTTGTACCATTTTGATGCTACATACATAAAACTGCATCAGAACACAAGACTGTTTAGCACCAAAAATTACTATATTATATAATGTAATACCAAACTCTATGACTATGGATATTAACTCCAACAAGAAAATTAAAAAACTTAAAATATTTCAAATTATTAAAAATAAAGAGAATGAAATAGATGAGGAAAGGATGAAGGGTCATTCTATCAGTCACTTAAATGTAGTGCCAATGATAATGATATCAGATTCTATATAAACATTCTTTATCGCCAAAGCTGCTGAACAATCGTGCACTCAATGAAAAAAGAACTAAAACCATCAATATGCAGATGCAACCACATACTCCCATACGATACTGGCATGAGCATGCATCAGCAAATTACAAGTATGCAGTCCTTTTTGATTTCCTTTCTACCAAGAGCCCTAAATTTGCATGTCAATAGATTACCTATGCAGCTGAATCTAAATGATATTGACTAGCATGTTTACTTTGGTAAGCTGTTGTGAAAACACCGGGGGCAACATGGCGCAGGTAAACTAAATTCTTAAGTCGGGACAAATACATTACTGAACAACGTGGGTATTCTTTCAGAAAAAAAGGGCAGCATTAATAGTCTAGCTGGTACTTTGCAAATGACAGGTAGGCTCATTAAGTCTGCAGAAAGTGGTGGTGAAGAGAGACTTTTCAGGTAGGCTCCACATATCACTTCATGGCCAGGTTCATGTGTTTCACAACATTGTAAAATCAGAGTGTTGTCAAGTACAAACTGGATGCTGTTACTATTGACAGTTATGTAATCACCCCAGCAAGCAAGAAGATATATTGAAATTTAAATAAACGATTAATGACTCTCGAGGTTATTTTTCACAAAATGTCTGTAATTAAAAGGGAAAGATTTACGCTATGCACTGCTGTACAGCAAGATGATGTATTGAAATTAGTTCCTTAGAAATAATTAATGACCCTGGGGCAATTTCAAATTGTCTGTAATCAAAAGGGGAAGATTTAAGCCATGCACCACTGAACCTCACTTTGCCAATTTAGACTCCGTTCACATGAAAAATCTATTTTCTAAAAATCTATTTTCTATTCGCAGTATCTTGTGATCACTCCGAGCGCAGCAGAGAATTAATTACAGCTTTGGAAGTAACTGGCTAGTAACAATTCAGGGCACAGACCGTGATCACAAGATAATGCGAATAGAAAATAGATTTTTAGAAAATAGATTTTTCATGTGAACGAAGCCTTATTCAAAACTCTTTCCCATCAGGTTTTCACTTTTTCTGTCTTTTTTAATGCTTTTGTTATTGGTACTATAATATGACAGGCAACGTCTTTCTGTTATAGTTAAAATTTAGCATAGTAACAGGAGTGAAATTCTTAATTATTTAAATGTTTTTTTCTTTTCAGGCCATCTTAATGAGGAACTGATCATGAAAGTGGGATCACTTACTTCATTCTTATGAGACATGAGAAAAAATGTGACGTGGGTACTCTGATGCTGCCACCCAAACACAACAGACAAATGTCTAAGCAGCATATGACAGAGACATTTGAACTAGACATACATGCTCCAAATTTCCACCAATCTTCCATTTATAAGGCAATCAAGGAGAAAGACCCTCATGGTTTGTCCTCGGCAATACGTGGAGGTTGTTCTGTACACACAGTTGAGGATGAATTCCAACTGACATATTTACACCTGCTTGTTTTCACAGCGGATGGAACTACAGAAAGGACATTCATTCCTATGGTATATAGTTTGTCCAATTCTGGCATCCGTATTGATGCTATGGATTACCGAGGACGGACAGCGCTTTATCATGCTGCAGAGAAGGGCTTGCATGATATCATGCTGGCATTGCTCAGATGCGGCGCTGTGCCCGAAGATGAAATAGTTGAGGTGATAAGAGCAAATGGTGGCCCGTTTGAATATGAACTCATGAGTACCTTTCTTAAATTCAAGCCAGGAATATCCATGGCTGTGCAAAAGGGGGATCTTAAAACCACACAACGTCTAGTCAGTTACTGGGTGCGAGTCAACAGTAAACATGATGGCAAGCATCTATTGGAGATAGCAAAAGAGACAAAAAATGCTGAGCTTTGTCAATTTCTAGAATCAAAATTAACCACCACAGAGCTTGCCCATGCTGTCCTAGCAGGTGATATAAAACTTGCACAAAAGCTGCTCCGTTTCGGCAACTGTGATATTAACACAATGGATATGGCATATAGGGAAAATTATTTAAAAGCCTACACACCAAGAAGTCTTCGAGATACAGCACAAGATTTAGGTCATATTGACTTAGTCCGAATATTACCTGTTGTCAATTACAGTAAAGATGGGGATGACAACATCATTTCTAGAAATAATGAGGATGCACATCCAAACATGAAACCTGGAACGACTACCTCAGCAGCATGCATATTATTATAATCTACTTTCTTCTACTCTATTTTTTAAAAATAATTATGGTGTATACTTAATGTCACTGCTCATTACTTAGATTGGATGTGGAAATTTTCTAATCATGACAGTCATTTTTTTCCACAGAATATGACCCCTTCAATTAATTTTATTTTAATAAGGATTGCAAATGACTGAGACTTTTAGGGCTGTAAACAATTGAAGGTGGACTGCAGAGATTGATATCCCTGGTTAAGGCATTGGGGGCAAATTAATAATATGAAAAATTTGGATTCTCTTTGTAATGTAATTAAACATTATTCAATCTTTCATTTAAAACACTTTCAATGTGCACTTACTAGAACCCTATTATGAGCTTCCATGTAAGATTTCAAATATCAAATATTTCCTTTTTTACAAAGTATGCAGTTTTAATACTGCAAGCATGGCATATTAAGGTCATATTATGTTATTCAATCACAAATTGAGTAATTTTGAAAGTCTGCCCCCTATAAGTATAACTTAAATCAATGTGATCACTTAATGTGCATTGTATGTCTAGATCTCAGTTATTACTCAAAAATTCAAACAAAACAATTCTACTTCTCAAAATACATGAATCATCAAAAAATGAGAAAACACACACACAATGAGACCTAAAGGGCTATGTTTCTACACTTCAATTATCAGTGGGTTGGAGGGTGGAAAGGGGAAATAAAAAATTAATTATTACACTCCAATGCCCCATCCTACTCAATATCAACAAATAACTTCTTACATGTATACTTATTTCTATTGTTCTTTTTATAAAAACTTAAAAACCACAAATATTTTGTTTATAGGCAATTAACAAAAACTTTCTAGTCATTTCAGTTCTCCGATACAAAAAACAAATTGGCTGGACTCTTTTTAAGTCATTGGCTTGACTCTTTAAGTCATTCAGTTTCCCTCTACTCAAGAAAGCCATATTTAAATGAAGGTATTAAACGTCTAAATAATAAAGATTTCATGTCTCAGGTGTAAAATAACACAAAAATAGAATACTGTCTATATATTAGTTGATTGTATTGAATGTTCGTTTATGCATGTGATTACTTGTATAAAGGGACATATGTGCTTTGCATTCATGGACCCATATATAATATCCAAATATAAGGAATCAAAATAAAAAATACCAATAAAGAAAAAAGTTTCTACGTGTCTGATATATGATAGACAATATCATCATTAAAAAGATGCAAATAAAGGAAGTCGTGTCATGTGGATATACTGACAGTCTGGTCCATTGGTATAACAGTTTGACCACAAGTTATGGATGTGGTAGCTATATGCTGTGTTGTCAACACTGTCACCAATGGGGATAACCAAGATAGCCCGAAGTCTCAAAACTCAACATTATCATAAAATCAAGCAATATTTCTAGGAGAGTGGAAGCAGAAATAATGGCAGAATAGAGAGTGTGATGTAGCAATGAAAGCAGATGGAATGAATCTACAGAGCTCTAAGTTCTGTCTAATTATAGTCTTATGAATACTATTATCAGAGTATGGATTCACAATGTTTTGTGTATCACTTTTGTATTGATTTCTAAAATGACATTACCAGTGTACAGTATCACCCTTATTGCTGAAAAGTTTCTTGCATCTTTTCCTAGTCTAGTGTGATGTCAAGCCAACGAGCCAACGGTTTTAATTTATTTTCAGCTATACTTGGATAATGTCCACTGCATCATTATATGATAAAGTTGGGGACTACACAAGCTGCATTTAATGACCAAAAAAAATCAACATGTAATATTTGCTATGTAAACTGCTGCAACTCTTCAATGTCTCTATATGTTTACCAGTGAAGGTAACCCTTTTTCTACACTAAAAAACTTACAAGTATATTTTTTGTAGCTGATATATCCCAGTTATTGCTACAAATATATTGACGCTAAAAAGATTCCAGTTCTTGGGGATGATAACCATGGAGTATCTGGACCAAATTAACCCTAAAATAAAAAAATAGATTGCCTTGAAAAAATTAATACCAAAAAAAGAGAGAGAGAGNAAACAACGAGAGAGAGAGAGAGAGAGAGAGAGAGAGAGAGAGAGAGAGAGATCTACTTACAGGAGTATAGATAATATGGTTACTAAATAAGAATTTTGAAGAAAAGACAATTATCAATGATTAGAAAAAATAATTATATAGTTACAACAATGGTCACCCCTGCTGACAAAATTTTCTGTAATAAATGCTCAAATAAAAACGCTCTAGAATCATTTCTAAAGATATCAGCCATATTAAGCCTGCTCTTCTGAGCCATTTAATTTACATGTCCATGATTCATGTTCTCACCTGTTGCAGCCAAAGCACCTGCCTGCCTTACACTTAATTTCTCTGCTGGTCTGGCAACATCAGCTAGCCCTGCTATCACTAAAGCCTGGAAAAAATCAATACTTGAAATACAATGAGCAGAAATTTTACAAAAAAATTAACTGTAGACCTATTTAAATTCTATTTTGTGGGCTGTCTGTATGGTTAATACATATGACAACCTCAAACTCTACTTTGATAAAATCTGAAGTTATTCACGCATTAACTTTAAGGTGAATATGTTGGTCCTGTCTGTTAAAAGGCTTACCCATTTGAAGGTTGGTGCCCAAAAGAATATGGTTTTAGGACCTGAAATTCAAAAAAATTAATAAATAAAGTACAGGTAAGCTTTATAAGGCTTTTGTAAAAAAATTTTGTTTTATAAGACAGGAGACTGTGTATTAATTACCACCAAGGCTTATATTATGTGTTAAAGTTAAAAAATACTACTTTGTACTGCATACTTTACTTCAATCACAACGTAAATACTACCGAAAGCTTACAAAAATACAGTAAAATGTTTCAATTACATTTAAAATCCATAATCCATGCCAAACATTGCAGTGACAAGAATGACCTACATTCAGTAGGCCCTAGACGAAGTCTGAGCAAACTTACCCCCAAATTATAAATACAAACGGCACTTTACAATGCTGATAGACAAGGGCAATTTTTATATTTTCAGCAGGAGATAATTCGTAATCAGAGCCATAGGAGAAGGCAATTTTCATATTTGTTTAAGGGACTTCGTTAGTGGAAGATTGGCAGCAGGAGAAACTTATTGATCCGAGCGAGACAAGAGGGCAATTTTCAAATTCGTTCAAGGAACTTCAGTCGCGGAAGTCCACAATATATATATACATATAATATATATACCAGTACATGTATAGCAACTTTAAATTTTTTGTTTAAAAATAGTACAATCACTACTAGGGGATGTATTTTACATATTCACATTGTACCAAAGCCCATGACTGGGGTAGCACTAACACTTGCCAATTTAGCCAAATGCTAAAACTGACTTAAATTGGCTAAAGAAAAAGGGCTTGATTTGACATGTTTTAGCCAAATTATAACCATTTTGATAACAAATTGACAAAAATGTGGTGATTTGGCTAAGTGAAAAAAATTGCTAGCGCTACCCCAGCATGATTATGTGCTCCAATTTTAAACTAGGTAAACTCGGCATAACTGTGTAAAGGCATTTCACACTGCATTGTCATCCAGAATATTAATGGCCGAGCGATCAGACAGTGATGATCACTGTCGGTATATGATTCCCCCAATATAAGGATTATATGCTCATATATAGTGGGTAAAATGTGACAGACAGATCAAAGAAAACAAAGGGGTGTGGATTTTTTAAAATTGATTTTAAGTCCCCAGAAAGTGTACTTCTCTTTTAAATTTCAAGTCTCTGCAGCTGGCTTAATTAGAAGATAAATCATGTGTGGAACCTACTATTACTATGAAGTTCGCGTTTCTGTGTTCACTGTAAGCAGGGATTGATTGTGGCAATGTCAGAATAGACACAGAAATAAGCAAAACATACTCGCTAAGTGCAAGTGCACGGTACTCGTTCTGTCGGTACTACTTCCACTTATAAAGTTAAGCTGTCGTCGGTGTCACGCCACTAAAGCCCCCTTTACAATGGACGGCGTCCTATCTGCGTCCAGCAGTACAGCCCCATTTGAGATAAAATTATAATACTTTACGTGCTGACAACTGGTCGATCATTGAGCAGTCATTCTGATACAAAACCAATACTCCTGCCTCCTTATTAAGACCACAGCGATGCCAAATTTCATGGTCGCAGAAAGGACGCCGTCCAGTGTAAAGAGGGTATAAGCGTCAGGCAAAGCAAAGAATTAGAAATAAGTGGTTGATTGTCTTACCTGCTTCATGGTTCCAAAAAGGTTGGAATTTGGCAGGAACCGCCTTGTCAAGTACCCTTATACCTGCTCTATAAAGAGCGGACATAGCTTGCTTGCTTTCAGTTTATATCAAGATTTCTTTGACCTGCCTGCGCCTTAATTTACACCGGAAGTTAACACTAAGTAGAGGGGAGCACGGTATCTAATACAAGACGAGCCGATCGGTACTTTTTATTCGTTTCTCGAAGGTTATCAGACACAAGTCTTTAAAATGCCACCATCGGATCAAAAGCGACGGAAAAGGTTAAACCACGCAAAAGGAGAAAAATCTAACATTGAGACCATGAGAACCTATCCATTTACGTAATTTTTGTTTTTGAAAAAAAAAAAAAGAAAGAATTTTCAAATACTATGTAACATTTTATTCAGTAAAAAAAATCACAGAAAATGTCAAGAGGGCACATAAATTTATCAACATCAAATATGTAACATTACACTCTGATACGTTGATAATGACTTATTATTCCGAATTAAAAAGAAGAATAAAAATTATTCAAATTTTCACCACTTACTGAGTATATGGGGCCGTAGCGATAGTCCGAAGGTTCATTGGTCCGAATGTTCACTATAGAACCTTCGGACCAATGAACCCTTGATTAAAAAATTGATGAAAATGTTACCACTTTTCGGACCAATGAACCTTCGGACTATCGAGACACCCCCGAGTATCTCACAGCAATGTTTTGGATAAAATATATTGATTGCACATGCCATTTTGTCCTTATTTTCTCGTTACATATAGGATCTGACAGAGGCACACCATTGTGTTACACATATAAAACTTCTTTTCATGCACAATGTACAGTATTCAAAATAACATATACTGCTTAATAGTATATTACCATCTTTATAAAAAATGAAGAAAAAAAATTATTTTATATTTATTTAATTTATAGAGTGCAAGCAATACCCCTTATGCATAGTGACAATATATGCATGTTTTTTAAGCTTATCTATCACCTAATGTTTTTTTAACACTACTATATATATATAGTATATATTTTAATATTCAAAGACTATGCATTGTAATTAACAAACAGTATATAGTTCATAACAACTTCCCGTTCACTTCACTTTCACTTCCTTGAGGGACTTATATTTCCTTCTCATAACAGGAGTTGATCAAAGCTCATTGTGGTTTTATTTGTAGCAATTTCAACTTCCAATTTCTTAACTTCTTCCTCAAAACTAACAGACTCTGAAGACAATTGCCCAATCAAATTCTCCATCTTAGTTAAATCTGGTCTTCCACCGTCCAATTTAAACTGCATGACAGAAATTCCTTCAGCCTGTAGTGCTCTCACCATGTGACCTTGAGCATGCTGACTATGCAAGAATGAAATAAAGACCAATTTTGCAGGATAGACCTCTTCATGGTACTTCTTGAACAGTGGAAGGAATCTGATGAGTGAGAAGAAAAGTGATGCACTGAATTAAAACACATTTGCATCTTAGTTCTAAAAGTAAGAAGATATACTCAAGTATGTTAGAATGCATGCAGGTTTATTCTTATGTGTAATCTATTTTAAAGTTTATCCTTATTATTTATGCAAAATTATGTATATCAGTGAGATTCATCAGTTGTTTATGACTAGATTGCACCTGGAAAAACATTGTTTGTCATTCAAACTAGTCAGATTAAAATGATAATAATTCACTGACACAGACACATATCAAAGGGCATAAAATTTCAATTACACACACCTGTAGCCCTGAAAGGATGTATTTTCCTCTTCATCTGTGACAATGATGAAAGTTTTCACTACCTCTTTCCTCTCATAGAATGGGTACAAACTGGCTGCGGGAGCAGTGGCACCAGCAGTTTGGATTGTCAATGCCATTTTTAACACCTAAATAAAGCAAATTTTGTTTTTTTTTGTGATTAGGATTATTCTTTGAAAGATACTGTGAATTAAAACTAAGTATACATTTTATTTAACAAATATTCATAAACCAAGACGGTCTACATGCTAGTATATGAGAAGGGCTTAATAGGCCCTTATAAAGGCAACAATGACATTCAACATATAATTGCTTAACTCTAGTCTATGACAAATTTCCCCAGTAAACACATATGATAAGCTAGGTTTTTAGGATCCATTGAGGAAAACATATTAAGTGTAAGAGTCTGACTCAGAGAAGTAATGTGTATTTTTAAAAATAAGACAATTTCAGTCCATGGCTAAAATTACATAAAAAATTGTGATTCAGGAAATAATACAAAAATCTTTTTGAAGACAAAACATTATATAACACAAATAGTCACCTCCTCAATATTAGTTGGAATGAATGGAGCATCCCTATTAACGGAATCAAAGAAGACCAGCTTAGCAGAGGTGATTGCTGTTAGAAAACTTGCAATAATTGTCGATGTCCTGATAGCCACATTCATAGATGGGGAAGCATCACCAATCACAACAATTGGTTGCTCCAAAGGAAGGCTGCAATATATGACATAAATGAGAATGACAAGACCGTTGTTACATGGCAACCCTGCCTAGCCATTATAAAAAATGTCATCTTCTATCTATTCATTTGGTCACTCAGTTTTTTCTTGAAATTCAGAAGTCTTTATATGATTAATTAACATACAGAAAAAAATTTAAATATTTTCATTATTAATCATCCAATTCCTGATGGCAGAGGAATGTTAAAATGACAACCATCATTTAAAAAAAATTCTACACACATGCAATAACTATCCTACCCTATTTTAGATTACAGCAAATAAGTTCAATATTACTTATGTACCTTAATCCTTCCAACTGTTTTTGAGCCAATGGTATCAGACGCTCAATGAACATTGCACGATTGCTAACAGTGACAGGAGTTTCAGTTTTCACTGGCTCAGAGCCCCAGTCATCTCCGCCACCCCAGTCGTCCACTCTGGTATTTGTATTTTCACGCATTATTTTGAATTTCAGTAATCTCTCCATCAGTTTCCCATAGTTCAGGGTAACTTGCTCTCCAGCTGTCAATCTAGCTTCTATGATTTTGTCAACCTCTTCACATTCCAAGTCTTCATAGTACCTAGTAAAACAGGATTACGATACTTCATAAAAAGTCAAATTCATGTTAGCAGTTCATATTTTATTATTTGCATCATATACTGAAAATTTACCATCACTGATCAAAGAAATGTGAACTGCCAAAACTCCAACTTTACTAGTATACTTCATCCAATGTCATGCCATTTCTTATCCAGAAATCTATTTGTTACAAATAATAATAATAATTTTGATACTATTTACATAAATTTTTGGCACTGTGAACTAAGTTTCACATATCATAATATTTCAAATTACCATAGCAAAGTGTCAATCTTTGGTGTGTACTTGGCAATCCTTGCTTTTGATTCCACTGAGAGCATATTCTTCTGGTCTTTAAGATGAGTGTAAGGGATGTCAAATTCCATGATGAGCGAATTGACGTTTTCTGCAGTCACCTCTTTGCACCTAAACACCATGGACTCCTCTGGGGCAGGTCCCCCATAGCAAAATGGTAGAAACCAAGGCAAATTAGGGAAGTCCTGAGGAAGAAAATTCAATTTACTAATTATCAGTCATTACCCTTACTAACAAATAATTGAAATTTAATATTGATGGTAGGGTACGGGGCGGATCCAGAGATATTATCTGACAGTCTTCCAAATTATCTTTGTCAAAAATGGAGGATGGATCAACAGTCTTCTGACGGCAAAAAATAAATACCCTTCAGTGTAAGCTTGAAAATCTGACCGTCTTCTGGAAGACCCAGAAGACAGCCTAAATCTGCCCCTGGGGTAAGATTATGTTACCATAACCAAAAAAATCTCTTTTGGAGGAAACTAAAATTAGCTTAAAGACTGGCAAAGACTAAATATGGTTAATGAGCTCAAAAATATTTTTCAAACATAACTTTCATTTCTGAGGTCTGTACCACATAACTTACAAGGCTTAATGTTAAGAAAAATTAAAGCCTGTTATTGAAATATTTATATGGGATTATGGTGTACCTTCTTTGGGTTGAAATGGCATACGTCAGCTAGTTTTTTCCAGGGGTCTGTTGGGAAGTGCAGTGCATAAAATTCTAGCTCATCTTTCGAGAGTTGTCTCACCCATTTCTTCAAGCGCTTGCATAATGCTCCACTTGCTGAGCCCATCTAGTAAAAAATAGACAGAAAAATCATAGAAATAGACAATGGTTTTAATAATTTATGATTATATTTTACAGGTTGCAAAAAAAGAGCCAAAACCTTCTCCTATGCAAAAAAAAAAAAAAAAAAAAAAAAAAGAAAGTTAAACAAATTGTTTTAAGTATCTTTTCTTATTCAAACATGACAATCATAATATTTCTAGTTTTATACCATTTTTATTCACAACAGAAACTAAGTAAAATAAATAAAAACCATCTCTGACAGATTTCATGTTTTTCCAAAGTAAGAAAAGCATATGTCAAACATTCAAAATATTCATTTACAACAAACATTATTCTGTTACCTTTGGTTTATTTTCAGTCAAATTGTTAATCTCTGCCTTGACCTTTCCAAGGGTTTTTGGTTTTGGTTTACACTGCTGTATATGGAGCCGCTTCAACTTTTTCTCTTCTACACGTATTTTTCGAGAACTGTCTAGCAGAGTTAATGCCTTTAGCACTTCAATTAGACCAAAGTTGTCTGTGTTCTTTAAAAAAGAATCCGCAAGAGCAAAATCCTTTCTTGCCCATGCTGCTGCTAATGCTCTTATCCGGGCATCTAGAGAAAGATAAATATTGCTGGTCAAAAAATGTGTCATACTTTTTCTAATTTTTACATACAACAACAATTAAGGGTTCTGCAATAAAAAAATTGTTAAAAATTGAAAAATAAATACACAATACATTAACATGACAGTTTTCAAGAGATATAAAATCATACATGCAATCCAAATGGCAAGATCCATTATCATATCCAATGTCAGGTCTGTTATATGTGGAGTTCATGTTTTACTAACATAAAGCAGATAAACATTTGATAGATTCAAGATAACCCATTTTTCTCATGATTCATGACAAACATGACCATTACAGTATCAAATCAAAATGTGCTCACTTTGAGAGATCTCCACCCCATTCCTCTGCATAACTGCCATTCCTGCAACATAACGGTTACAATTCTTTTCTTGTGCATCATAATGCTGATCAATGGTTGCAGTTCCCACAAAATACTCTTTGATATCCTTATCAATGTCTAAAATTACATCTTTAACTTCATCTTGTGGGGTTTTGGCAGGCTGTTGTCCACGTCCTCTACCTCTTCCACGCCCACCCCTACCACCACCACGTCCTCTACCGCGCCCTCTTCCTCTTCCTCTGTTTGGCATGATTAATATTGTGTTCTATCTTACCTATGTAAAGATAAAGAAGTCTTTATAAAATTCACATACAAAAAATATACATAAAAGATTTAACATTATTTTTTGCCTGTAATACAGTGCACATCTTCCCTTCATAATTTTTATAATCCAACATCAACTGGTAGCACAAAATGAACTTACTAGTAAACTTCATGTGCATGTTACAACTTTGCCACTTGCTTTGTTTTATAAAACAAAATTAATATTTTCTTTAAGAAACATTAGTTTCCAACTAGTAATCAAATTAACTCTAGTGTGCCATCTAATGCGACTCCAGATACAAGACTCCAGATAACAGCATAGAAATGTATCATTTCCTGGTTTAGATTGTTCAATCTTATGAACGTTATAATTATCAAAATTGTACAGGGTATATATAGATTTTGGTATACTAGTACTTCTGCATTGATTTCCAATGTTTTTCTTAAATAAGTTATGTACCGACTTTGTTCTAGATCTATGCCTCAATGCTTTTACAGAAAGCCATCGTGCATTATTTGAGTTGCGACTCAAACATTTCGTCTGCTACAGTACTAGTAACTAAAATTCTCGGATGTAGCCGGTCGTCCTTACCTGTACTAATTCGACTGATTTCACATTACAGTTTTCGATATATTGCTGCTGACGTTCTCTACCAATTCTGATATTTTGACTTTACCGGTCGATTTATATGTAGGAGGTTGCACAACCAATGCATCACCTACAGAAACTGTGCTAGCTCAGCATCTTTATTTACCGCCGACCTAGCAACTTAGGGGTTTCTAAAGGTAGTCCTACGACTTCCTAGAAGTAGTTCGCATAAAATCATTTTAGCAGCTTGTTCTGTTATATGACCGTTTAAAAAGTGGTAACATGAGTGGTTAATATCAATTTTCTACCCCTTGACAGTGTAATCACTGACAGAACAATATTCTGATATAATTATTTAAAAAGTGGCGAAATAATATCGACCTAATTTTAGTCAGTTATTTGGCCAGCGGTAAGTTGCAGCGTGTTTGCATCAGTTTCTCAAGGGCATGCACCGGGAAAAAAAATCTTTGTTAAATGTACGTCATTAAAAAGATCAAGAATATACTAGATTGTCTTCAGAATAGCGAGTGCTTGTTACAAAACACACTGCAATAACAGACATTCTGCAGAGCGGTCGGACACCTACATTTCCGTTTGTTTTAATATACCAATTCATGAAGGTAGGCCGCTGCACTCCAACAATGGCAACGTACACATGACCTCGTTCGACTCGACACTAATGTTAATGCAGTTAAGTTAAATCCCTGCGCTTAAATATTTAAAACACATCACATTAATTTGATATGTAACCGTGAAAATCTATTTATATTAAACAATATAATTCACTTGAACAAATGTCAAAAGCCGAGAGATATCTCACGAGCAGCTTCTTGAAACACGTACTCATGCAAGTTCTCGTTTGTTGCGCAATGTGTTTACTTATTTTAAAAGCGGCTGTACAGCGGTTCGGTATTGTTGATGTGAACTAGATTACAAGAGACAGAGAAAACAGACCGATGCTGGTATGCGGGAGTAGTTTACGCAATTTAAGTTTATTGCTATGGACAACAAGAAGGATGTATCTCCCTAAAATACAGGTATAAGTTCTTTTCTGATGAATTAAGATGGGTTTTGGTTAAATTTGCTTCTATTTTAACTTTGTAGTTTAACATGACTAAACTTACTTAAGATAAGTATTTATTTTACTCAGAAGAAAATGAAATATTAGTTACATTTATCATGCCAAGCACTCAAGGATTTACACACATCCAATCTGAGTTTTTTCAAGCACTCTTAACAACATGTAATGTTTCTCTTTGGGCCTTCCAGTGTAGAACAACAGTGATATAAGCTGGAATTTATCAGTAAAAAAGAATTTGGTCCAAATTTTACCATACTCATTTTAATGGCAATGGTTATAAATATCTTCTCATATATATCTTTTTTTCAAGGATGGGTGCAAGGGTGTCCAGTTCATCAGTCCAAGTATCTGCATCAGACTTTCAAGCAGTACCAGAACTGACCACTAAATCTGAAGAATGTTCTCTGACCGAATGGACATCCAACAGAGGTCAAACTCTGGGTTTTGCCCCTGGATTCCCAAGCAAAGTTTGCCATTATGAGCAATACCACTGGCTAGGTTACAAGAAAAGAAACCATACTGGAACCCGCTACAAGTCTGCCTACAAAGTAAAACCAGTAAAGAGCCGTGGCAATACCTTGTTGGTAGAAATCTGCAATGTTCATGCCAATAGAACTAGAGATGTGAAACTTAATGCACATAATTTTGGGAAGGTGAAGTTGAAGGAAATCCAAGTGGATGTAGTGGCCTATACTGAAACTGTGATTGTTCTTATGTGCAATATTAATGTCTTGGAATCAACAGAACTGATTTTCTACGATTTGTCCCAGAATTTACAACTAGGTGTGTTTGATATGAGTGATGAATACTCTCCATTTTCAACCAACAGGAAAGTGTTCTGTTATATCAGTCCAGGAGCAACTGTGTTTATTGTTCAGTTTGATGAGGATCTTCCTTCTACCTCCCCCCTCACCTTAACACCCTTGTACATGAAAACCAACTTTAAGTGCATCAAGTTTAAGGAATCCCAAATGTGGATTTTAGACCAAACAACTGATATATCTTTTATGTATCAGAGCATAATAGACTATGGGCTGAGCTTCAATCCTCTGTATTCTTATAAGAGAATTTCTATGTATGGCTGCTTTAGAGAGGAATCATTCAGCAGGACTTTGTTAACTTATGATATAAAAGAAAAGCAGATTCTGTGTTACCTTGACCTAGTCGACACCCCTGTTGAAATCCAGTTTCATCCCCAGGGTACCTGTATATTGCTCAACACACGCACCTGCTCGGGAGAAAGTGTAATTTATCTTCACGATTCAGAACGTCTTTTGCCACTAGGAAGAGTTCCGCATTGCCATCCAGCAAAATCACTTTTATGTAGTATGGTAACATTTTCAGCATCTTGCAATGCGTTTGGCGTATATAGGCTAAACTGTGATAAGAGTCATACCACAAGGCAGTCTTCACGCATATTACGCATCTGGGGCGTTACAGTGTACAAGATACCTTACCAACAAAATAGGATGAAACTGAGAGATATATGTCGCAGTGTTATCGTCTCACACACATATATTGGGATGATTGATAAACTGCCACTTCCCAAGTTATTGTTGGACTTTCTTAGGTTTTCTCCCATTTATGATGATTAGAACGAAATGTAGGAGTTTACAGGGTAACTTACATGTATTGTGGAAAGTTTTAACTTTGTCAGTCTTTGAGTGATAGTTTTATGATTTATACCGATGCCACTTCCAGAGTTGTTATTGGACTTCCTGTGATTTAATTATATTTTTGATGTTTTTTGTAACTAACAAATAATGTTCAAATATTTATGCTGACAGTATTTGATTATTTTTTCATGTTTTCCATTACCATGGTAGAAAAATCATAAAAATGGGCCAAAATCAAAATTTTGTGTCAAATATTTTTAACTGTTGTTGTTTTTTCTTGGTAATTTTGCACACAAACACTGGATTTTAAGACATCACCTTGTTCTTCCCATACTTTTGTGTATAACATTTCCTTCCATTTTGTGCAATGTAATAAAGGCATTTTACAAAAGAAGATTTGCTGTCATTGTTTGCATGAAAAATGTCTATGGTTAAATTTTCATTAAGTTAAGGACCTTGATAAACAAAAATGGCTTTATGCAAATATGTATAAAACAATGTTTTATTATCTTGGTGATGCCGTCCTGTCTAATATTGGTTTTCTTGAAGCTGCTGTATGCCCAAATTGAGAAGTTCTGCACCAAAATTTAATTTCATTATCAAAGCTTTTAAAACACTTATTTTCCGTAAAATTTAACGAAGAAGTAAATTGGATTCCTTTGAAGCTAAAGTATTTGTATTCTATACAAAGCATCCCAACTTGCAGTGCCTGTTTAGCACTAGATGAATAATAGGAGAAAGGGAAGGGACGGAAGAAACATAACGAGGCAGATTGAAACTTGCATGTTAATTTTAAAAGACTAAAGTCAAGTTAAAGAACTAAAGAAGAAAGAAAAAAATGACAAAATGCATGGCCAAGTAATCTTTGTTAGAATTTCCATTGCTTACAGAATTGATAGCACACATCCCTATGATGACTCTTAAGCAATCTTCAGTTACCTGGTGTTTCTGACATTTCATTTAATCAATTCGTCAGTCGTTATGAGCTTGATGGTTGTCAAATAACTTTATTTATTTTCTTAGAACACGCTTGATGCTTATTTTGTGTTTGTATCCATTCTTTTCCAGCTTGTAGAACTGTGGTAATCAATATCACCACAATGATGTAGCTCATTGAGTGGGATGAATGAACTCAATTTTCCAGGAACATGGAATCAGGTGAGGAGATTATCCCGCAGGGTCTCATTATAATAAGATAAAGAGCGTACTTAAGTTTTATATTTTAAGGTGAATTTATATGATATAATACACTGGTGAATGGGTGCATTGCTGTGTTTGTGTAGGTGGTATTCTTTTTTTTTTTAACACTCAATAATTAAACAGGCGCAAAGTAAGTAGACTTTCAAATTAAGGAGTCGATCAAAACTGAAATTCAAATTTGTATGTTTATCAGTTTGCTTTTCAACTTGAATGATGTGGTGCACGTATGTGCATAAGCGAGCCAAGTAGTTAATTTGGTTTCATTTGGGTGAAAACTGGTGTAAAATATCTATTTTATTTCAGTGTTATTAGAAGAGGAATCGATTTTCAAATTCCCTGGGGACATACCTGATATCATGATACACAAACAATCCAATGTTGGAAGGGAGTCTGCCTTGAAAATCTAAATATCGAGCAATTATATGCTCCTGAGTATTGATTTTTACGGAAGCACTTTTCGCACCGACTAGTAGTATTTGTGTTCACTTCCACATTAATTTTATGTTTTTTCCCCACAAGGATAACCACCGTGGCAGAGTTGAGCTAGAAGAAATACAACATGTTCATCACGCTTGGATATATCTTCATCTGGCTATACCAGTCATGGTATGAAAAAACACAAAAGATGAAGTATTTCAGCCTGGTCCAAAGATGTGCCTCTGCCAAGGAGAGTCTGGTGTTCAGGAACCTTCAGAAGGTAGTTCCAAGTCTCTCCGAGTCTTGCCACTTCTCTCCCCTGGTGGAACACGCATTGCGTGGATGGACGGAGGAGATGCTGATAGAAGACCATGCAAAACAAGTGGTGAGGATACATCCAAAGGTGAGAGAGAGAGAGTACTATCTCAGGGATGTGGAACATTCTAATGGCAAGATGGTATAAAAGGTTGCTTGGTTTTGTGTGAAATGCCTAAATTGGGGGGGGGGGTGGGGGGGAAGAGTCCTTTTCTTATTCATATATTTTGCTGAATCTGGAAGTTGTATTTATATTTGCCCATCAGAAAGTGATATGCTCGATTTGCATTTATAGATAAAATTGTCCATTCTGGCTTTATGGTGATCAATAAAGTTAACTCTGTGAGTGACACCATGTAATTGATTTTAGAACAAATTCCAGTGCCTTGGTTATTTCTGCAGATGAGAAAGGGTTTTTGCAGATTCTTTGTAAATAGAGGTTGAAAACATGAAATAAGATTCACAAGAAAAGTCAATCTGTTTAGAACCATAAAAAAGCACAGGTTGCTACTATGCATAGACTACAGTATATCTGCATTAAAATGGATGGTGTTTTCCATTCAGATTTTTAGAATTCAAATCAACAAAGAAATACATAATTTCAGCAAAAAGTTGACCTGCAGCGCTGGACGTCATTCTTAAAAAGTCAGTCATGGACACCAGAAATGACAGCAAATTCGGGCAAGCTATACATTCTGCTAGAGACCGTTCATCCTGATGATGAAAATGCCTACATGGTCAGTGCTGGAAACATTCCAAAGAGGAAAAGAGTTAAGGTGATTATTTTATTAATTATGACAGGAAAAAAACACCCACACACACACACACACACTACATCTGCTCTGTATAAATCTTATTTCCATTTGAATATTATCTTATATGTAGATGTGGAAGAAAAATTAGCATGATAAATTAATTAATTTTGAGCAATAATGCAATTGAAAGTTATTTATTTCTTAAACCAGTTTCAGTGATGATGGTAATTTGCTTGTAAAAATGAAAATATTATCAGAGAATAAATATGGATATTATAACAGGTAGATGACTATGGAATTCCTCTTGCCTGGCGATCAGGCAGTCCATTTGGTGTGGTGGTCCTGTGTTCACCAGACCAGTTTGCCACTCTGGGCAAGGCTTTTGTGGAGGGTTGCCTCTTCATGGAAGATGTTCTGGAGATACAAGAAATGCTATGTGAGACCCAAGGATATTTTAAAAAATAACATCTTTTAGTTAAATTAAACAGTAGAATGGAAGAAAGTGGATCTTTGCTCTATTCTTTCATATTATGATTTTTGAAATAAAGACACCTTTTTGATATTTTTAGACTTTAAAAAAATTTTCCATATGTATAATTTTTTAATGTATTTTTCAGAGTCTTTTTAACTGAAGAACTATAATTTTCATTTTGTTTTTTTATTAATTCTCCTTAGCTGTTGAAGTTGTCAGCCAGCCTGCACACTTGCTAAGATTTGACAGCAGCACAGATTACATCATTTCATCAGGCAGTGACACACCTTGCAAGACCAACTCTGGTTTCCCTTTCCCCTCTAGGGAAGGGTCTCTAAGAAAGTCATCTTTACACAAAGTTGAGGAGAGAACTGAAGTGCCTTTTGTTGTTGATGATGATGAGGGTGAGGGTTCAAAAGTAGAGGACAAGGAAGATGAGGAAGAACTTTTTGCAGTTAATGAGGTAAAAGAAATGATCACTCAAAATAATTTGGACAAATGCCAAAATGAAGATGAAGTGGAGGATGAAGAAGAGGAAGAAGAAGAGGAAATTTCTTTGAGAGATATGGTCTCAGAGGTTCTCATAACTGACGACAGTGGGCCACAGAAAACTGCCAACCATACTCAAAAATCCAAAGGGAGGACAGCTAACCTGGTTGTGAAACCACCCAATGTGCTAATATACTGTGGGAAAAAGGACTCTGCTAGGTTATTCCTGAAGGCCAAGGCTGTGTTTGAACAGTGCCTTAGTACAGATTCTTATGCTATATACCACTTGAAACATGACCAAGTTCACTCCACCCCATGGATTGAAAACACTGCCCTGCTCATCATTTGCAGCGACAAACTTTATGACGCAACAGACAGTGAGTTCTTGGAATATTTTCAAAAAGGAGGGAATATTCTCAGTTTCGGAAGTCCTTTGGATGGCTTTTTCATCGAAAAAGAAGAAGTGGAGACTGCACCAGCAGCTATTATGTCTCTGACGTATAAATCGTGGAAGGAAGTGACGACAATATGCACCAGGTTTGCATTTAGGCCTGAGACTGTGAAACCCAGTGTTGAAATGAGAACAGTTGGGTTTAACCAGAAGACCAAAAAGCCGGCTATTGTGATTGTGAAATCTAGGACAGGTGGAACTGCCATCTTATCTCAGGTTTTTATTCTTTGGCTTTTGTCTTAAAAGTAAATTTGGACTGTATATCTTTTTTTTTCTGTAGGACACATATGAAAAAACTAATTGCGGCCATAAAACCTTAATCCAGTCATTTGCTAGTTTTGGTTAATGACAACTACAAACATATTGAGCAAATACAACTTTTGATTTAAGAAAAACGCATTTCAAGATGGCATGTTTTTTCAGTTTAATTACCTATAAAGATTACCTAATAACCTATTAAGATTCAGGTATGCATAATACAACTTTAAGCTTGTTTATTATTTGTGCTTAACCCCAGGTTCTGCTAGAGAAGGATCCAAGTGAAATGGCAATCAATGCAGATATCTTTTCACTTTTGAAGCAAGCTAACCATGTCAGATTTGAGATTCTGAGAGACATGATGTCCAGCCTGGGATTCCGCTGTGAAGCTGTGAAAGCCTCAGCACTAACACCAGCTGTGTTGTTGTGTTGTGGCGAAGTAAGTTATTGTTTCTTTTGTTTTTAAGCCTAAAGACAAAGGCAGTGGATTATCAGTGCAAAATACTCAAATTTAATAGACTGTCAATTATGTTTTCTTTGTTGTGCTTTTTCCTTATTCAGTATTTCAGTGGTAACTTATGCCCCTTTTCTAGTCATGGAAATCTTTGTGTCCAAACTTGTCGTCTGATCAGTTACTATGTTGTTTGGTCTGTTTAAAATTCAATGATTTACCAATTTGAGCCTCTGTGTAGGATCTTGTATTTTGGTCCATTTTTCAAATCCAAATAATGATCCTCTGAAAATAACTTTATGAAAAACTATGAAAATATTGTATTTTTTTTCATTTTTGGAAGATTATTTCTGAAAGCAAATTTTAGATTAAATTTAATTCTGGTCAATTTCAGGGCACAAGGAATGCTTTCCTCTCCTCAATACAGCACAGACTCAAAAATGGCCTTCTAAAATCACAGAAAATCACCCTGAATTTCTTGGACTCGAAGCGTGATCTCCCAGAAACCATCACCCCGGATATCCTCCCTATTCTGACTAGAGCTGTGGACAGCAGGGTAGCTAATTTTGACTTTGCAGCATACAAAGATAACCTGGGAACCAGGGTACTTGGACAGGGTGTACTTTACTCTGATGTAATGCAGTCTACTATGCCTGTGTTGGATGGGTATGTTGAGTTAGTATTGACTATAAAAGTATAAAAGCCTAGAAAAGGGGCTCATGGACAGAGTTTTCTATCATTAATGAGATTAGTATGTCTGTTTTTCTAAATGTGTATGTAGGTATACATATAAAAAAAGAATGATTTTCATAAATCCATGACTTCATTGAGAAGCAGACAGATATTCGTATGTATGCAGAAATTTTGCCTTACTAATTTTGTTATATTACCCATCTATGCAATATTATTAAAAAAATTTCCAGATTTTTATGCAAAGTTCTTTGGCCTTAATATTCTGTAATTAATGTGGTTATCAGTATGGGCAACAATCTTTTTTAATGAGAGTGTTAATTTCAGATTTTACATATAGGTGGCACTGGCATGAGCCCCTATTTGAACATCTAACGCAATGAAAAACTATGCTACTGTGTTTTGGTGAATTTTTGAAATGCTTGAGTATAGTCACTTATCTGAACATTTAACCCCTATTTAATTCTTTTTTTTTCTTTTTTATCTATAAGATTACTTTTTTCTGTGCCTGAAGATATTGGACTTATAGCTATCGCAGGTCAACAAACCAGTGGCAAAGGTAAAGATAGCTTTAAATAAGGTGGCCTAGATTTTGCACTGGTGCATCAGTATAATCTTTCTGTGATATTGATTTTGGGAGATATATCTAATTTTGCTTCATATCTAGTACATGATAGGAAAAACTATGCTACTGCTTTTTACTACAGGTTTGTTTGCCCAGTGTGTGAGAATTTTCCAATAAAATGTTAATTGCATAAGCAAGAAAACAAACATTTTTCATGAAAGCTGAAATGAACATACTTCTGTGTTAAAAGCGTAAATGCCAAATTTACATCAATAATAAATTTATAATATATCTGCCTGTTGGGTTAATGATTTCAGAGAGTTCATGGATTATTGGATTATAAGAGTAATAATCACCTGAAAAGTGATAACAACAGACTAAGTTGCATTCATGCAACACCTTATATACTTATAACGGCACACAACAAATCTTGTCCTCTTGATCTTATTTTCTAGGTCGCGGTGAAAATACATGGTTGAGTCCTAGAGGATGTGCCTTGTTCACTCTGCACTTGAGAATCCCACTGAAATCCAAACTGGGACAACGTCTGGCTTTTATTCAACACATCACCTCTGCAGCAGTGGTGGAGGCTGTCACTAGTATGCCTGGATATCAGGTACATTGTATACTCATTTTTCACAGTATATTTTGCTCATCAGCCAGATCTGGTATGTAATTTACAGACCACCGACATATTGGTCCGTTTTCAGTCCAAATCATCCCTTGTTTAAACAGACCTTTGATCATTACCTTTGAGCAGTTTGTATGCATTTCTTTGTTTTATGCAGCTTCTCTTCCCTTCATCCCCTTCATTTTGAAAGCACATGGGGCAGATTTTAACCTTTTTAAGGAACAAAAATGTCATTTTTAAGGTTCATTAAATCCAATACAAACAAATATAAGATGGGTTGGAGTACACAGCTACATAATTGGCTTTTTTTCTGAATTGTTCACTTCCCTTCAGTGTACTGTAATCCTTTGATTTGATATTGTTTCAATGGATGTGGCATCAGTTCATTGCTAGTCAAAAACAAAACGGCTCATCAAAGCTAATTACAATACCATGCCCATTGGAAATGTATTAATTTATGTATCCAGTAATTAATTTGCTTAATTCACAACAGTAACTAATTCACCCTGTCATTACAGCCATTAATTCGCTCCATTGGCAATTTCATACAGACTGACGTTATTTTAGATAGTATAGTTACCGTAGTGAGTATCATGATGTGCGAAAGATGCTAGAAAAGCATTTGAAGTATTAGTGTTCATGTCATTCCACGTCCCCATCCTCGTTGGTTTTATACTTTCAGAAACATTCAATCATTTCCTTAAAATAAAACATATGCTTACCTCAAATGTCCGTATATGAGCGTTCCCATCCTGTTATCTGACCCAAACTGTCAGCATATATTTCAAAGGAAACAACATGCTCAATGACACTGATTCAATCTGATTTAGCTAATTATGATGCATGTCTATCGAAATGTTTTTCGATAATCCATTTACTAACACAGCGACTCCACTGGCGGTTTCATTCATAAACTGATGCGTGTGTAGGAATCATATCGAGCGTAATGGCGTAGTTGTATATTAGAGCACTGCGATTGTGTTAGTGGTTATCTATCCCCCTGAGGCGACTAAACATAGTACGCTACACTGGCTGATAAACCAGTCAATCACATTTTATAATGAGATTATCAATGGTTTTCAAAGCAACATTAACTGATATCCAGTGATGGTGAAATTGTTTTTCTTACGGATCATGTGGTAGACATGTAAAGCCTTTTAGACCAAAGCCTTAAAAGACCGAATGAATTGTTAAGACATTTACTGATTAATTGTGTTTCTAAAAATAAAAGGCCATCATGTATTTTTGAAAATTCTTTGAGACACACTTTTAATTTGTGCAATGAAAGCATTTTAGGAACTGAAAAAGTATGCTGAAAAAGTCTTATAGGATCCTATAAGATCCTATAGGAGCCTATAGGAATTTGGGCCAATTTCCTATATAATCCTGTAGGGTCTTATAGGATCCTATAGGACTTTTTTGTAAGAGTGTGGATGTGATTCATTGTGTTCTGAAGGTCCTTTGAGAACTTTTACCAAATCATTTATTAATAATTGCAGTAAATCCCCTTTTTGCTAATGAATTACCTGTTTTAAATAAGTAATGTACCAGTCTATTTAAGTAAACCATAAACATATATCAAAAGACATGGAGCATAGAATTGTAGAAACTTTTTAAGTTGTGACAGTCACACAGATTGTCCATTACTTGATAAAATGTGTTGTGAAAAATTTGAAAGTCTGTTTGGCTTACATAAAGTGCTCATTAGACCTGTACACTAGAATTATCATATTTGGATGCAATGTTGACCAACGTTCACTGGTCAAGCAGGTGGTCAGCCATGTGCAATGTCCACAACAAAAGCTGACCATTCCACGGGCTAGCCTTTTGATCTTTTCAAACTGCCTTTAACAGAAGGATAAACATTTGCAATAGTCACATGACATTATAGATGAAGAAAGTCAAGGACTTCACATGCTCCCATGATTTTCCAGCTGAATTGGGTCTAATGCATTCAGTGTTGAGTTATAATTACTGTTTCTGGCCAACTTGTAAACAATCATTACTACATACGTGACTAGAACAATGGTCAAAAAGTGGAGAAAAATAAAGAAAGATGGGGCAGGCGCCATTCTGAGATGCAGCACCAGCCATATTATGTAATTTTCATATTTTTACCAAAAGCTTTTACAATCTAAAATTGGGCACAATCCTTTTTTTTTATTCATTGTTATAATATTAAGTATTTATCAGTTTTACATTGAATCAGTATTTGTATTATTTATTCTGGAAAGTTTTGATATCAAAATTGGAAAAAGAATTTTATCAAGGTTAGATATCTGTTGTCTGCAGTTTCATTGTAATACTTTTATTGGAAAACAAAATTTTAACAACATTTTAATTCTTTGTCATTATAGGACATCTGTTTACGTCTAAAATGGCCCAATGATATTTACTACAACAACGTCATCAAGCTGGGAGGTGTCATTGTTAACTCCACAATAATGCATGGAGTAGTCCATGCTGTCATTGGTAAGTCTATACTATTACGTCACCTTCTCTTGCATGGATTTTAAAGATTCAGCAACATTGATTTATCGATCTTAATTGCAGGTATATGCATACTCTGTCTGCCTGCCTTCTTAACTTATGAACAAAACTTACATCATCTGTTGAGAAAATAGCGGCACTCTGGCACGCGCCATAATCATTCAGGCAGAGTCGAAAAATTCATCTTGAGGGTAGTGGTCACCAAAGATCAAAAAGTCATTTTGATAAATCCTTGTTCTTTGTTTCCTAATAACACGGCCCGGTAAATAACTGGAGGATAGTTTCAGAATAGTATGTGTTCAATGAGCTGGAATGTCACCAGTTGTGCCAATACCCTGAAGTTAAATTTTCAGGATAATTTGGCAATAAAAATATTAGCAAACTTGACCTCAGTATTAATGTTAGGTTAGGTAACTGAGAGAGCTTTAGTGCAAGCAAGAAGCTTCAATATTTTTTGACTTACTTTACATGATTTATATCTTTCTTATATTTTATTTATAGTACAAGTGGTCAATTAAAGCACTTTTAGAGACAATATAAAATTACTTATATATTTTATTCAGAAACATAATCAAATTTTTTTCTTTCTTCAATTTTTAATTAATTTTTTTGTCACCATTTTAGGTTGTGGTTTTAATGTGAGCAACAGCAACCCCACAATTTGCATCAATGACATCATCAAGCAGTACAACCAAGAGAACGGGACCTCCCTGCCACTTTGCTCAACTGAACAGCTAATCGCACTCGCTGTGACTGCCTTAGAAAGACTTGTAGATCTGTTTCAGACTGAAGGAGTGGATGCTTTTCTGAAGATCTATTACAAATATTGGCTACACAGGTGCGTCCAGTTTTTGTTTTCTAGGTTATGGAACTTGTGTAACTTGAACACCTTTTATGTAAGGAATACATATGTACCAATATGTTACACTACCATTATATTGTAAATATCTGTAACTTGGAGACAAAGGGGATAAAAGAAATTGCCTTCAGCAAATCGGGGTTCCTTTCCCCGGGGGTTTTTATGGCGTAATGTAGCCTGTTTTTCATGCGGTCATGGTACAATATTGAGGTAAAAGCCTGAGGATATTTTGCCAGCTACCTGATGAAGTGGCTGAGCCTTCATGAACAACGATCGACCCGTACCATCTTAATTATTGTTTAATTGGATATATTGAATTTATTTGGTCGATGTTGATGGGTATCGAACCCCCTTGGGTTATAATCAAAGTCATGGGCCGAAGGCAAGGCACAAACAGCCATTGTTGTGATACAAAACAAATTATCCCAAGTGCAGATCTGACTGGCTTTATGTCACTTAAAGTGTTTGCTCTTTTATGTTGGTGATGTAATGTTATTGATGGGTTACATAAGAGTGGCCAGCTCACTTTTCAATCTGGTGACCACGCCGTGTTTACCTTCGCACCTCCATTGTTTGAAAGCACTGAAATACAGCATTGTAAGTATGCATGATTTTTAAAGACAAAATAAATATGCAGGATAGATTACTTACATTAAAAGGGCTTTGATGCATTAGATTTTAAATGTCAAAGAAACAGTGCTTCTGGACGAATAAGTAATATGAACAAATAGCATTTTTCTCTCCCACCATGTATACAATGGACTGTGTGATCTTTGACTGGCCTCTTAATACGTTATTGCCAGAGCGTGTCAATAAACCTATTCTCTGCATAAAATTGCTGTCTGGATACAAGCAGACTCTATTCTTAGCCATATGTATGCTCTAAAGAAAACGGAGCTTTCCCTCGTTGTGAGTTTGTGAACCCTTGGCATAGGCGATTGATGCAGCCAAGACGACATGCACAAATGGAGCGACTGCATATTTTTCTGAAATTAGAATGTGCGCAGTGATGGTTGTGTGACTTATGGCGTGTCCATGAGCGCGCGGCATGACGCCAAAAGGCGGCGCGTCGATCGTTCGCTTAATGCATGTAAGATCGATGAAAGGTAAGGCAAACTTTTACATAATCTAATTTGCTGGGAAGCGAATGATTATGTGGACATTTCTCGGTGTTACGTCATTTCTACTGACTAACACCATAATATAAGCAAAACAACACAATTAGGTGTGAAAGCAAGGTGTTACATAATTTGTTTGATATTCCCTTTGCGGTGTATACACGAGCTAGCTTTTCACTTTAAAATATCGTTAACCAAAAGATGGCAGTTAAAACTAAATCGACCTGCACCACTTCTACCTTTCATATGCGGTGAAGAATTATGATGAATGTGAGTCACTCATGGCTTCCCTTAAACCCCGTAGCTGTTTGTTTGTTTTCTTTTCATCCCTTCTCTGCGGTTTCATTTAATATTTATTGAATTTCAATTGTCTGTGGGAGCAGCGAGTAAAATCCACACCTTGTATCGATCACTTAACTGACGTGTAAATGACTACTTCAGCATGGGATTTCATGGCAGATTTTTTATTGTTGTTGTTCCCATTCTGTCAGTCACTCCCTTACACCGTGTTGGTTGTGGAGTATTGACTGACCGATGGCAGGAAAAGGTCACGCCTGGACAGACATCCCCCTGTCAATTGTTCCCCTCGCACTGTGGTCAATAGATAACACACAGTGTTGGCAGGCTGAGGATATTGACTAAGCAAACCTACAACAATAACCTTTGTTGCTTTCAGTTGCTAAAATCCACTCAATGTCAAATGTAAGGGATCGCTCTAAGTCTCTGGCAGCTCAAGTGGTTAATCAGATTCTCTCTCCCCATCTCTCCCGTCACAGGTCACACGGCCCAGTGAGCCTCTGTCACACCTGATATCATACACTCTTTACTTAACCTGGCTCAGGTCTTGCTTCATTTATGCAGCTTTGGTAAAGATATTGATGATTAATTAGAACATGTGTAGGCCTCAGTGGTCAGTGCTTCCCTCAAGCCAGTCATGTTTAACAAATTTGTCAATTTGTCAATCTTCTGAGGTTACATGGCCATTTGGCCTTTCTGGACTTTTAAGGTGAAGGTATTTCTGTAGCCTGGTCATGTTGATGTAGGTTGTTTCACTATACATTCAAGGAGTGTTATTCTATCTGGCCCCTTTTTTTCATGTTAACTTTTGTGGTCATTGAATATATTTTTAATTTATTATGGTTTTACTGGTTTTATGTATATATATTAGAGTTAAGATACTAAACATTTGAAGTGGATACATTTTTTTCTTCTTTTTCCATAAGAACATTATTCTTAAGTTTTGCCAATTTTTTCATCTTTGTGCAATTTAGGATTTGAAAATATTATAGGCCAACTATGTAAAGCTGATAACAAAAAAAAAAAAAAAACATATAACATCTGAAATTAGTTTTCATCTTGACATAGGCAACTGAGTCTTCATTAAATTTTATGTATATTTAGCTTACCTCCATTTTTATAATATTTAAATATTTATTATTTATTTATAATAATAAAAGATCAGAATTTGATTTAAAAAAAAACAAATATTTATTTTCTCTATTCATTAATAAATGTTTTTTATTGAAAAAAAATACTCTATGTGTAAATGTTTAATAAAATGTTATGTGAAATTTAAGTACCAATAAAAATTTTTTTTGTTTATTTTAACTACCCCAAAAAAGGGTTTACTTCGGCAGAACCTATCCAGGAAGCAATTCATCTCTGAGATGCAAATAATGCTAGCATTCAATTAATAACAGTTGTAAGATAAAAGGCCTGTGTGATGGGATGTTAGATTAGTCCACAAAGAGAAAGCCATGAGGGTGGTCTTCATATTTTACTTGGCAGTAAAAAAAGACGCAACTCATGAGAATTTTTTAAAAAAGCAGCAGTGTTGTTCATTTATTTATATTTATTTATGTATTAAAATATTGAGTGATTGGGTCCTGTCCAAAATGTCTTGGCAGTTCAATTATCTCAGAGGCAAAACATTTTTTCAAGAATTAAACACATTTTTTTTTTCAAAATTTTTTAAAATGATTTTCCTTGTTATACATACTTTCTATGCTATTTTGAATTATTCTGAGCTCATCAACCAGTGCTCTTGTGGTCAAGGGATGTTGTCCTTTCACTGCAATTTTGTAGATTGGTATTCATAATCAATCATCATGTTTCTTTATATCTTTTCATCTAAGATTTTTTCCTGTGGTGATATGACAGAATTCTTAAGTTATTTGATTTTCGGTTGTATTATGGAAGTTGAAAAGTTTGTTATATTTATAGCATTGTCATTTTAGATATTTTGTGAGAAAAACGTTTTCATGAATATAAACAGTAATTTCATTAGAACTCATTTTCCATTATAATGTTTTTTTTTTGCATGTAATGATTTATTTTCATTTATTTTTGAGATTTAACTTGAAACCCGTTTTATTTTCAAAAGTCCTTCAATGATACCAAATTGAATACAAATTCATGGTAACTTCATTATTGAATGTCAAGTGGGCAAAAACAGAAATACTGGAAAACGATCAAAATGAAAACATAAGATGCAGATATTAAAACACATTGGAAAAAAAAGAGTTTAAAAAATACACACAGATAAGGGTCAATTTTCATTTTTTTTTTAATTATTTCAGTGGTGCCCAAATCCAACTGGAGCGAGAGGGAAACCTGGAGGTAGAGGTAACGGGGCTGGATGAACATGGCTACCTCCTGGTGCAGGCTGCCAGTGGCAGGTGTCTGAGTGTGCAACCAGACAGCAACAGCTTTGACATGATGAAGAATCTCATCAAGTTCAAAGAGAGATAGTTAATTGAGCTCACCCAAGAAGCTGTGAGCAGCACACGAGTTAGCGCAGGAGGAGTGTTTCTTTTTAACATTGAGTAATACACCGTGCCCTTTTCTTGAGTGCACTGCATGGCATGACTTGTTTTTTTTTCTTTAGACAGAGACGGATTTTGCAGACGTGTTGATATTAAATTTAAAGCTAAGACTTAATATGTGAAATGATAGTCCTTGATATACGCATGAAACCGTCAAACGGATTGTGAAGAAAGAATTGTGATAGGCGAATATTAATACGCTTTATTTATTCATGTTTGTTATCAATGTAAGTTTATACAGTATGCACGATGGCACAAAAATGAGTGAAATGTCACTTTAGTATTGTTTAAATTTGCCACACCGTGCATGTTATTTTTCTGAGAAAAAAAACGTTGATCATGGTTTGAAAATGGATGGCTAGATTAATTATGCTGTGTTAATTTGAAGCACTGCTTTTATTAAGTTGTAATTTGTAAACGACTGATGCATATCTACTTTTTGAATTGATCATGTGTGTCGGTTTAAAGTTTTTTTTTATTCACACAATATTAAGCAAGTACCATGGGATTTTGTTTGTTAAACGGTGCTGTTTTACGAGTGTAAACACATTTTGTTTTATTTTCAATTGCTGGACAGATTTTGGTATTTTTTCGTCGCTGTTGACGTTGTTCATGACCTTTTAATGTTTTGATCCACGTTTGAAAGACCTCTTACTCTTTGAAGTACCATTGGGCATTTATTATGTGTTCAGCTAACTATTCAATTCCCGAAGGTTTGAAATCGTTTTCCCCAGCAGACGATTGTCAGGACGAACAATATGACACACTGAACAGTTGGGAAATTTCAATGTATGGTCTTCATTCGAGTACTGAAAGAAAAAAATTGGGGACGCATTGTTGACATTTCATTTCTTTTCTCATGAAAATGACACGGAAGGCTGGGGTGTTTACACAGGCCCAGATATATCTGAATTGCTCCGTATTGTGATGGTCGGCAAGTTTTGTTCTGTGATCATTCTTCGGGTTTGGATGTGGTATTGTGATTTGAGCCAGGCATTCCCGTATCCCTGCTCGGGTGCTTTGATTCGTGTCTCCCGGGGTCAGGGGCCAACGAAAGCCATATACATATATGCAGGGAGCTCGGAGGCTATCATTGGCGCTATGCCATGCATAACCATTAGCCCAAAGTGATCAAGTACAAATTAAGAGACCTGTAATATCCAGTAAGCATCTGTGATTGTCGCTTAGTTTAAGCTACTTGAGTCGGTCTTGAATGTGTCTCCAATGGGTTTTGTGAACTAAAAATGTTTTGTTTTTACACATTTTTTGTTCTTGGTTATTGCGCGGTGAACGGTTAACCACGACTTGTTAGAAAATGAGTCCTGAAATAGCCAGCATTTCAAAACCTCAAGCACGATCATTGAGTGAAATTTCCCTTCTATGGCAACCACTCCAGAGGCGAGTGCTAATTTCTAAAAGCATAGTAATACGTTGAAGTTCCCTCGAACTGATTAGCACAGGATATGCAATCCCCCTATTCTCTACGCAATAGCTTTCACCAGGCCCGGTAAGCGAATGAAGTGTGACTGAAGTCGGAGGAGAATGCTCGAGGACGGCTAGCTTAAAAACCCCATTCATTACCCCGACAAACGTGGCATTGGGAAGCTCTGGATTATATTTTCTGTGCAAATAATCTGAATGCAGTCTTTGAGACCTAGTCGTTGCATCAAACGCCTAACCTTTTGTTTGGCGAACAAAACCGTTCTGGCAGCGGCTCAAGTTGTATTAGGGGGGCGAATATCGAAATATTTGCGCATCGGTCAATATTGGAAGGTTTCAGCATGTAACACCGTTTTTAAGTGGTGCATAATCTCTTTCTCCAACATGACTATATTTTCGTGCAACGGTCTTACTGGTTCGGAGGAAAAGAAAGAATGCAAACTGAAATCCGTAATTTCTTAATCTTTTTAAATATTGGCTTTAATTTTGTATTTGGAACACGTTTTCGAAATTTGACCTCGAAAGACGATACCATTATCTTATTAACAAAAACATCGGATGGGTTTGCTGAAGACTATATAGACTCATCAGAAATGTAGAAATTTTTTCACGAAGGAAAAACAGAAATTCAGAGATAGTATAGATTGCAAAAAAAAGCAGTGAAAAGGGTAGACTATTGTCTGCGGGAAATATACAAAATTAATTTTGAAACTACCATATTACAAAATGAAAAGCGTACATTTTAGAAAGGTACCTTTGTGTTGAGAAATGTTTCAGAATATTCAACGGAACGCACGTATATAAGACCCGTCTTTGATGTTCTGAACAAAAATTGCCTCTACAAGAAAAGTACTTGTAAGTGCGTTCAAGAAGTTATTTTTTTTCTGTATAGTCAACAATATTTTCCTAAATTTTTTTCTGAAACCCCGACCTGCCTTAACTCGGCAGACTGGTTGGTGTTGCGTTAGTTTTTCGAATTCTGTCGGTCCTAATTTTTGTTATCTTTCTGGGACAGGAAAACTTATCTAGTCTGTATGCAAAAATTTTGATGCCAAACTTGGAGAAGCTGGCCTATCAGAACTGTTCTGAAGAATTTGTGCTATGGAAGCAATTCCCCTAATGTGTTATGCATGTGGTCGGTTCAAAAAGGTGAAATCGTATTCAAACTGGATCGTTTTTAAGTAAAACTAATGCTTCCAATTTCTGTTCAAAGCCTCATAATACTTTAGATTTTTTACAAAAACTTCGAAAATGGATGCTGCATCTTTTCATTTTCCAACAGGCTGAGCTTTAAAATTTTCAAAGAAACTTGAACCCAGTTTTCAGAGCTGTGTATTATTTCTGTTGTCAAGAGTGTTTGACTTGAAAGTGCATATAAAGAAACAAAGTCGCATGGCATTTCTTGAATCAAATACGTAGTCATTTAATGACTTAAAAATCATCTATTAATAATAGTTGTGTTACACAGCATCGCAATCTGATTCTACTACCATCACTTAAACATCACATTGGCACGAATGGACAACTTAATTATTTGATTGCTATATAACTAAATATACCATACTTGACTTAATTCACTATTAGAGATCCTCTTACATACATTCATATATGTATTTATCAATCATTGACATTGGCCATATCTTCAAATGATCTGAGTTCCCAAAGGCGTTTTCATATGAAATAATAAAAGTGATTCCTTCAAATAATATACATTAAATCTTGAATAGATCTAATGTTCAGAGATGGGTCCTATGAAGTCATCTTCCCAGTAAGATGAATAAATCGCTGATATTGGTTATAACTTGAAAAGAAGTGCTTCCACAATATTGATAACATTATAAGTATCAAGTATGAAACGCTCAACAATAACGTCTTAAATGCAAATATGGTAAATCTTGTATCATTCTGAGAAAATGCAACAAAGAGAGAATATTTAATTTTGAAATCTTGAAAATACGAAAACCTAGTTGACATACAAATATCTAAATGGTTACAATATGATGCATATGTGAAATTGCAAGTCGCTGACACACATTTAGATACATGCGCAAAAGATGAATCATATAGCATATAGAAATTTCTGGGTTACCTAAGAAACACAGAAAGACCAGAGATTACATACGCATTTATACGAAGAATTAGTGACCCATTTTATGAACCTGCGTTTTATTTGCAATTGACAACATGTGTTGTGGACACCATTTTCAGGTTAGGCCTTAACAGTAGCATTATTGTTCGACAAGACTGAGTTAACAATGCCCACCCTTTTGAAAAAGAAAGAATGGTGGGTTCTGAAATATGCAGCCAGAGACCAATTTTCACAAATATCTGACTACCAAAGAAATGCATTATTTCAATTCAAACAACTTCTATGCACTGACAAATATCTGGACACCTATCTATATATAATATACAATTTTAATTCCTGTATGCTATATTTTCCTAATATATTTAAATAAAAGAGGAATGATAATATCATTTGAGCAAGAAATTAAAACCTTTCTAATGCACCATAGTACCCTGTGCATAATCATTTAATTGAAACATTCATTTTAAGTCGTGTGTATACGACTGACACTTTTTATGCCCATTGCATTTACATGCGTTGTACGTTGGTCCGCTAAATAACAATTCGTTTTACAAATTTCTGGCAAGAAATTGATTTTCTCATTGAAAAGAAGAACTGTCTTTTTGATAATTCCAAAACTACCGTATTTCATCGCGATTGCAGTGTAGCAAATGTTAGAGTTACACTGCAGTGCATAAATATATGAAAATTACAAAACAAGTTATGCACCGAGCTTTTATAAAAAATATACATAAGGCAAACTTGTGACCATTTTCTCTTGTGTATTATATAATGGTCTAATGCTGCTTATTTTGTGCTGCATTTTAAGCATAGTATTTGGGCTAAGAAATATTGCAGTGTGATGCATTACAATCCATGTGTTTGTTCAATTGCATCGTTCATCGGAATTGAAAGACTTAAAAGTACGACGATATCGATAAAACATTTATGCTAAGAAAGAATCCTTGTCGTTTTATTGGATCACCTTAAAGAAAACATTTCCCATTATGCGTTAATCTGTAAGTGAAGATCGAACTCCTTTTCTTTCATGTGTATTACCATTCATAGGATGTAACCCGCCTACTCAAAATTTTTACGGATTTTCAGTCCGAGAACACGCCATCTATCCCATATTTGACTCAAAAAATTCAAAAAGAACAATTTCAGTGTACATAGCCATTTGCCATTTGGTATTGCTGCGTATCGACTATAACGCTAGTGTACCCTGCCTGTGGAACCATTGTGAAGGACCGAGATCCTCCAAAGCCACCACCGCCATATTGTCCATAGGACTCGTACGATTTGAGACAGTTGCTATACATATCCGTCATAGGAGACAGCTCCTTGTGTTGTAACGTCCTCAGCCCAAGGACATGTGGGTCCATACTACTAGCACCAACCGTGTAAGGGAAATCCTTTGTGAGATTTGTTGCTCGAGCATTTGTAACGTTAGCACACCCATTGCTCATGTCTGTTTGTAATGGCGTCGCGGATTTTTGACAGGAAGAGAGGGCACTAAGACGGGCCTGACTCGTTGGTTCTAATACAGAGTATGTCTGCTCTGGTGGGCAACGCATTATGACTGAAGGTTGCTGCGCCAGATCCCGTGTTTGATTCGAGGAAGGTCCGGACTTTGGTTTCGTCGCCTTGTAACTCTCTTCTTTAACCAACTGCTGTGTTGCTTCAACCAAACTGTCAAATTTTGATCCCGGCCGTCTTTCGACCGACCTCCTCCTTTCATATTCTTCATTCAAGGCTTCAACTTCCGAGGCAGACGATTCTGACCGACTGCTAAATGGCGTGGAGTAAGAAGGAGGGGAATTACTAAACGCTTCGGTTCTGGGGCAATTGTTTTGCATTTGACAGTCATACCTCTGTTGTGGACCAGCCCCTGTCCCTATTCCTGTCTCCGAGTTACGGGTTTCTCGGCTTTCTTGCTCAGTTCTCTGTGCCGCGGGAGGAAACCTAGTCCCATAACCCATCGCGGTCCCCTGCGCGGGTACAAGTCCAGAATACGCACTAGAGTGAACAGATTGCAAGAACCGCTCGTCTATTGGAGCGGGGTACGCTTGTGGGTACGAATAGGCGTACGGGTTGTTCCCGTACGCCGGCGTCATATAATGCGGATAATACGGCCAGCCAGGGCCAGGACCGCGGTCGGAGTCCGTCGGCTGTGATGAAAGAACTGATGGCGGATAACCTTGGACGGTTAAAGGTACTTCTGAATACCCATACAGTCTATCCCCACGGCTTTCTGAATAATCTGATTCGCTTCTGTTTGGACTTGTGCACGAGGAGCCGGTGCACGGGTATGGAGAGCGTCTCGCGCTCTTTGATTTACTGTTTTTACTCTTTCCCGACTTTGGACGCTCCGAGCCTCCTGTGCCAGAAGCGTCGTTTTTGTTCAAAGTTTGTTCTACTTGTAGCTGTAAATCCTTTGCTTCCACTTCGCTGTGAAAAAGAAAATAATCCCATCATGAAATGATTTTTATTACAATTGTTTTATAATAATAATAATAATAATAATATCATAGATAATTGCTTATCTACAAATTATTTTGAAGTATCCTGTCAAAAACTTATTTCTACAATCAACATTCACTCCACCCCTTTTTCACACTGATATACCAACACGTACAATGGATGCTTTCTCTTGCGGCTGGCACGTGTAAACTCAAAAGAGGGAATGCAAAGCCCAGAAACAGTCAGCTGGGCTATGTGAATACAAGACTAACCTTAATACGTAATTTACGCTGACGATACAATGCGGTCTGGACGAGCGACTATTGTGGACGATGGTTGCGTAACTCTGCATCCAGATCCAGCCTCCATCCTTGGCCAGGAATCGGTAGTATTTTGTGGTTACCTGCCCTTTTAGGAGCACTGAAAAATTGAAAACATGAGAATGTTATATTTTCAATACTTGGAAGAAAAAATGAAAATAACCATTTTGTTTTCAATATATGGTGTATACGTGGCACTTTAGGAGCACTGATAATGGAAAACCTCAAATATGTTGTGTTCAATAACTAGTGGGGAAAATACAAATACAAATAACTTCCAATACTTGGCCTTTCGGGTGCTTGGGAAAACGGTACACATCAGAAAATGTTTTCAATACCGGGTGAGCAAGGACGGAAAATATAAACAAAATTTTCTCAATACTTGATGGGGACACGACCTTTCTGGAGCACTGGAAAATGGAACACTTCAGAAAATGCTGTTTTTAGTAATTGGTCGGGAAAATGAAAAAAAAAAACATTTTTTTAAAATAAATGCCTTTCTGGCACATCGGATTACAAAAAACACCAGAAAATGTTGAATTTAAATATCTGGTGGGCAAGGGCGAAAATATCAACATTTTTACAGTACTCGGTGGGGACACGGCCTTTTTGGAGCCCTGGAAACATGACGTTTTTTTTTTTTTTTCAATATTTCTTGGGGCTGTGACCTTTAAGAGGCAGTGATGAATTAACAAATTATCATCCATTTAAAAAATCATTTTCATTAAAAATAAATCAAGCAGGGCCACTGAATGAAAAATCAAGGGTACTACATTAAATCTTGATATGGGAAGAACCCGGTGGAAAATGTTTTTCTGTTCCAAACGAGAGATCATCTCATATACTCTATACTTTTAGTTGTTAATTTTCAATATCTCTTCTGATGAAAGCTGTTAAATAAAAACCAGTAAATGCCATTATCTGTTGAGTCACGAAATAACAATTATAATTATAATAGTAAAATAAACAATTTAAAAACATTACGAATTGTAAATTTCCATTGCCAATGGTCATTTCAGAAAAAATCGAAAATTAAATGAGTCAAAGTGGCATTACACAGCACTAGAGGTGCTGGGAAAAATAGTGCTGTATTTTTGTGAGCCCTATAAAATAACAGTAACAAGTCTATATTTCTTTTAAGTTGCACTTCATCTTTTTTTTCTTTTTTTTATAATGAACACTGAAAGCTTCAGTATAGGTTTTTCTTCAAAGAAATCCTATAAATACGAAATGTAACTTATTGTTTAGCTAAGGTGACGTAAAGCGAGAGGAATATTATTTAACTTTCCGGTTAATTTCCCCTGTGGAGAAATACTGGAGGGTCAAAAAATTAAAATTCCTATTTTCAATCACCTTAAATGAACCAAAAAATAAAAAACAATTTAACACAAGGTTCTCTGTTCAATGGCACATGGTTGAATAAATCTTAAAGATCGAAATATTATTGCTGTTCGAAATACGATCCGTTTTGTTCAGCATTCAAAAACACACAAGCAAATATGTTTCTTATTGCCTGATCACGTACTAAAGAATAATGTAACAACATTAAAATTATAAAAGAAAGTGCTCAGGTTGTTCAAATAATGCACTAAGTTTAGACTACTCTCGTTTTCTGTATAAATTAACATAACGTTTGAACTTAGAGCTTGATAAAAAAAAGCGCTGAAGCTAATTTATCATATTCTCCCTGTAACACTTGAACCGGGAACTGTGAAAATCCTCATGCACTTACTTCCATGTCATTTATTGTCTTTCTTTAGGATTTGTATATATTTTAAAAATGAAAATATGAAGAGAACACTTACATGTATGGTGAGCGTATCGCATATGTAATATATCACAGGCGTGAATATAATGGTACATGGTTTTCTCAATCAGGTCTTGAGGCTCGTAACCAGTTAGTCGTGCAACCCTGGAATGAATATTGAAAATTAATCCTATTATTAATAAGACTAATCCTAACAAATGGTATTTTGAATTAATTGCCTCTGATGACGCTGCCCCGATCTTTTTCAATTAATTAACATCTAGGCTCATCAATCAATTTGAGAACGGCGAGTGAAATTTTTTCCGTCTTTCGGTTTGATTTTCTATAATTTTCAGCAATAAAATATTTTAAAATAAAACACGTCGCAGTTGATTTAGGCTATACTTCGGTTAAAATTCAATTTCTAATTTACATTAATTTTGGGCACATTTTGTAAATAATACGTGACAAAACATTTCATCATCAAATTTATTTTTCGTTTTATTTCATATTTAGCAATTTTTTAAAAAAACTTTTAAATTTGAAACTTCCTAAGCAATCTACCCACTTTATCAGTGCTGGAAAAATATTCATTTTTTTAATATATAAATATATTAAAAATTTCATTTAATTAATACTTATATCAACACATTCATTATGCATAAAAATCGCCAGAGGATTATATAGTTTCATTTGTAAAAAATCCACATCAATTCATCCTCTGTAAAGACCTTTCGTAAATGTATATACAATATTAAATGAAAAAATAAAATATTTTTTTAAAAACAATCAGTTTTTCTTACCTGGCGTCCAGGAAAATGAGTTTCAGATCCAGACTGGCGCGGAACATGAACATATTGCTGTACATTTTAATCTCTGTGATAGCACTGGGCGGAAGGGAGTGACCGACAGCCACCAGGCCCACGTTCTGATAGCACGCATCGTAAGGCGCTATGTCCAGTGTCAATTGTTTGATTTTCAGGTAACCGCTACAATGAATCACCTGATTGAATAAATAAATAAAATGAGTGTCAACGATTTTGAATGAAATCATTGAATTTTTTTTTTCTTTGTATTTCCAAAATTGAACTTTTCTTGCGTTGTAAAAACCTCGCGTCACTTATATCAAATTTACTTATTTATCATTTAACAGCACTAGCTATTAATTCCATCATTTTCCTTGTGTATATGAAGTATAACTTTCAGTAACCCGATTAAGTGAACAGAAGTAAATAAAGGCTGGGGTTCTCATGTCCGTGAAATCGAACAAACCACGAACAGATTTGGTGACAGCTTGTCTTTGGAGGTATTAATCAGCTCAATGTAATAATAAGGTGTTTAAATTGCTAATAATAACGACCCAAATGACATTCCCCGTTAACGCCATTAATTAAAGCAAACTGTCAGCGGCACACGACCAAAAGCGAGGAGTTTCTCTATTGAAAAGTTAATGAAGGCAACGAGGGGCGAGAGTGCAGCAAAGAAGGCGTTGGTAATATTAGCCTGTCTTCCATCGGTGCACCTGGCCCACTAATGGCGAATCACTGTGACTTGGCATACCTCTCTTTCTAATCAAACATTATTGGAAAAACGCTTGAAAAACTTGGCCCCCACATGAAGTGACTGTTTTGCATAAAAAGAGTAGGGACCAACTCGTGTCTCTTGCTCTCGATTCTAGTGCAAAGTACATAGTATCACAGTGACTGATTGTTTCCGGAAAAACAATGAATAGTATTAGGAGCTCATTAGAATGTTATTTGCAAGTTAACCAACAGTCTCAAGGAGGGTAGCGAGAGGCACGGGTTTGCTCAAGATTTTCAGCGTCTTCGTTGAAGTCCGCGTCATGCTTACAACTGCACCGATCAAGAACACTCCATATGTTTTAGTGCGTTAGGTCAAACAAACCATAAGGAGTTGAACAAAGGTGAACAAAAAAGCCTCCATGGGAACTAGTTTTCTTACACGTGTCATGAAAGCTAAATAAAGAAACACTTACAACCCGCGTTACAGTAAACTTTGCAAATGCTTTCGATGTTAGGATGATGTATTTGTTTAGACTGTCTTGTTCTGAGTCATGGCGTTGTATGTATTCTCTACGTACCTTGTAGCCGCCTGACGTTAAGCCCGCATTTCTTTTGGCCAGAACACACTTCATCCGTAGGAAAAAGGCTCGCTCTATTTCAAATTCTGAAAAATAATAATTTTTTTAGCCTATATTTTTGTCTTATCACTTCATTTTATTTGTATTTTCTTTCTAATGCTCTAAGCAACCTCGTCTAAATGTATTTTTTAATTTCTAATTTTCAGCCATTTAAATTTGCAATCTACTTATTTCCTTTTTTTCATTGCCCTTTTTTCTGACATTTTTCACCTTTCTCGGTGAAAAATATGTATTTAATCTAATCAACCACATCAAATGCGCGTAACTCGCCACCGTTCGGATGACTCACGGGGACCCTGTCCCTAATTCATCCCTCTTAATCTACGACCCCCAGTATTGAACAATCAATTTAATTAAAAAAAGCGACAGTCCAGAAAGTGAAACGCGTCCCGCCGAGATCTTACCTGGGACCATATGGGGGTGATAAGGCTGATGGAAAGTCAAGATGGCTGTCATTTCATCATGGTCAGCCGGATGAATGTATTCATAAATACTGTTCCCTGTCAGCTCCACCTGGGAATTAATTGGTTATTACGTGAATTAATAATTGATGTTGCTTTTCTCCGAGACTGGGGATGATGTAATACGTGATTTACTGGTCAAAGAGGTTATTTATCTTTTAAAATCAGTAATGTGATAATATATGATTTTTGGCGATTTTTTTTTACTTTAGAAAACAAAGGACTCAACAAATTTGACTTAGCAGCTGTCATTCAGTTCAATTTTTGAAACAAAGAAAAGATAAAACAGTCAACTTTCAATTTCTCCCTGGACCACCTTATAAGTCCAATTATGAAAAATATTTAACTGTGGCACCTCATTAATTTTACTTTCCCAAACTTAAAAAAAGGAATAGTGAAAATGTGTTTTATAAAGTGTCGAGCAACTGTGCTTGATTTCACGGTTAGTTACCTGAGATAGTCCGAGATGTACGGAGGCCGTCTCTGAAATATACATTATCTTCCCATCCGGCGCCACCACGAAAATAAAGCCATCCAGAGTCTGAAAATGAACCAGTAGCTATTAACTGTAGCTCTTCACCTTATTATAACCAGTTGCGATATCAAACAGGGTAAACTGGGAATGATTAAATATGTGCCGCTCTCAAAATGTAATCTATTTTGCCGATTTAACATTATTTGAAGGGGCCCTAATGGCATCGTATATTTCTAAATATTTCAACATAGATTTTGTGTTGGTTATTTTATGCCCTAAATTACAAACAACAAAAGTATAATTAATGGGTTTGTTTCAAACTTTAACCCCTGTCTGACAATATTCTTACATGAGAAGAATCCAAGAAATCCTCAAAAAGAAAAAAAAATTAAGAGAGAGAGAATAATGAAATAAATATTTTGGGGAATATGAAACCACACACCACGCTTACTTACCTGTAACAAATGCGATCCCAGATCTTTTTCTAATGGATTTTTCGGAGGTATTCTTCGTCCCCATGCGTCGCCAAGACCTGAAAAGCGGAGACTTAAAAAGATAAAAACATTTCAATTGAATTTTTAAAATCAATCTTTCTATAAATCCTTTGTCTAAGCATAGTAAATAAAAGGGACGAAGCGTAAAAATCATACTTCACAATAAGTAGTCGTGGTGGCTACTACAATATGCTTTAAATGATAGAAAATAGGTCGCATTTATTTTACTCAGTGAATATCTGAAAGAAACTGACCAAAACCTTTTGAAAATTGGCCCCCTTTTACTTTACATTGTATGAAGGAGCTTCGACTACCGGTTAGCAACAACAGAAATAACGATTGAAGAAATGAAAAATAAAGAAATTGCTTACAATACACTTACAATAAATCTAAATGTTATTTTTATTATTTTTTTCGCTTCCAGACTCACTGATTTTGGCAAACTACAGTACCTTTCGTATAATCTTTGTATAAAAGCTATTCCATAAATTATACTGGCACTATCTAAAACATTGGCAAGTTATCTTATCGACATATAGTATGTTTATACTTTAGATAACATCAAAACCATGTTAAATCCAAGTGAAATTTTTCGGTTTGTGTAATTTCCCCATGGATAATCAAGAAATAAAACTAACATTGAGGGAGTTTTTCTCAATTATCTATCATAGCGAGATTTTTTAGAGAGTTTATGCATAAGTGTTTAGTTATACAGCATATACATAAGCCTATCATTTGTGAGCGAACCCACCCAAAAGAGGTGTTACATAAGAATCAGTAATATTACGACAAAAATATTAAAGGTATCAGATTTAAATTAATTCTTAGGTATCAAATCGTGATATGATATGATATGTCAAATTTTGGTCAAATGAACTAAGAGTCAATTGTAAACATTGCTATTTTCAATGTGCAATATATCAACAGACATTTTATATCTTGCATATATAAGTGAAGTTAATTGTTTATGATCTTGAAATAAAAATGACATGATTTAATAATATATCAGTCCATGTGTTTAAAACCAACTGCCTTCTCGGAATTAAATACAAATGCATACTTTGCAAACATTTTTTTCTATTCCTTTTTTACCATATGTCAACTGCCATGTAATATAATGTTTGACTACAGTTGAACTTTCCACGTCTTTCCCATGTTGAAAAGTGATATGATATCGGACGAAGCCAGGTTAGCAAGAAAGTAGAACTGACGTTTCACCCAAACACCCCGTTAAAACTTTTCCTTTTCTCAACCTAGTTCTAAAGACAATTCCGCCAACCTACACATGTTAAACACTAAAAAAAAGAGAAAATTCTGTTTTCATTTTTTTTCGTCTTTCCGTCCTGGGTGACAGTAGATGTTAAGCGGCTGGTACACAGTCATACACCCGTGTCCTTGCAGTAGCTTGCCCGTCAACAACCGCCTCACGCCGCGATCTCAGCTGTGCCTTTCAGTAAAATTTAATTGGAATTTATTGAGGGGAGGGGCACTTCTTGGTGGTCGGAAGAATATCTCATTGTTGGACGCCACAAAAGGATGGGACAACCTCAATTTCAACCGATATCACAGTGTGAAGTTCTTACTAGTACACCGTAATACAATTCCCCCAAAATGTTTTTGATGGAATTCGAGCCCCTGTGCCATTCTCCGGGACTGTTAAAATTGCTACTTCGGTTAAATTTGGATTGAAGGCTGTCTGTTGTTGAATCCAATCTAAATCTCATCCTTCTGCAAACAAATATTCAGCTTAACCTGCGGAGCTTCATAAACTACACACAGATCGAAATTTAAGCGAAATTCCTCACTCGTTCCAATCCCTGCTCTTTTATAGCCAATGCACATTCAATATGTCTTTAGATTATTGGCAGAATTTTACTACAGAGAGCTGGGTGTCATGGATGGGGATTTGAATTCGATTACTTGTTCAGATAAGATGCTGATAAAGCCCCCGTGCACCTGTGTAAGCAGAGCCACAAATGAGACTCTCAATTTTAAATTAAATTTTCTAAAGAGTGTAATGAAAATTCAAATTTGGAATCTTTCTATTGCCCAATCAACGATAAACCTGGACGAGGATAAAGCGGTTTGATAACAGTGATATAGGAATAACAACACACGGGTCAAACGGAGGGAGTATAGGGTGATAAATCAGACTGTGTCATCTCCGGAGCTAGCCTGTCAACGGGACAATGTGCTCTCAATACGGCAGAAAATTCTGTCAGCGGGAGCGCTATTGAAGACCCTCTCATACAAAGTTGACACCCGTCTTATCCGTTGACTTGGAGCGACACCTCGGTGCGAGTTCACCAGCTTGGCAATATGTTCTCACTGCAGCAGAAAATCGTCACTCCAGGGGCATTGTCGACAGATGACGGCCATCCATCTGGGCTTTAATCTCATATGCCAATCACTTAAACGGGCCCCGTATTCTTTTTCATACCCGACTCAGTGAACCTTCGTGTAACTCTTTCCTATGGCCTCAGTGGAGCAAAACGGGTTCTGCTCAAAATTGAATAAAAAAAAAAAAAATCGGCTCGCGTTTGTAGACAGGAATAAAATGACCTACATAAGTTTTAAAACTCCGATAAAGAAATTTAAAAAATCGTGTTTAGCATTGCCCTTAACATTTAAAAATCAATAGATATTAATAGATAGAGTATATTTTTATGCTTCTGATTTCTTTGAATTACTTTGTGATTCAAATAATAAATGCACACTGCTAAATATATCACTGTAGAAACGATGGTCGCCCACGTCCATTAGATCCCCTAAAATCAGATATTTAGAATATCAATACGTAATTTTACCACTCACTTAGGCTGGGCAAACATGCGCGAGACATTTGGCTGACAAAACTGTACATGTGTATTCTAATGTCGCACACAGTTTAAAACTACCGGTCGTGGTCTGTTGGTTTTTAAAGTGTTTGCATTGTTACATTTGCTTATCTGTAACACAGAATTATATTGATATTCGTCGAACGCATTGAAATGCGCCTATATACTGAACCCCTCACGTTATTGACGGGGTTGATGGAATGTCTTGCCAGGCATTATATCCACCGGAACTAAGTCAACTTAAATGTCTCTTTTAAAAGCCATAAATTGTAAACATTTTACAAGTTACTTAAGTTACTGCATTAAAAAATTGTTACGACATCGGTTTGCGATTTTTGTTTTCGTACATTCGTTTCTGTCCGCGAATGAATTATGGTGAATGGTGGGCGTTTACGACCAGTCGTAAATATTGAAGCTTGACAAAAATAATCATCCATTTCAATTAACTTGAATCTGGACATTCTGGTCAAACAATAACCACAGACAAGGTCTTCTCTTCCGTCCCTTCTGCGTAAATCGAGAGTGAAACCCATGTAAACATTGCATTTCGCGGGGCCTGCAGCCCAGCCACGAATTTATCAACGACAGCACGATTTTAAACCGCGGCGCTGTCCATATAGGACTGCTCAATATAGCAATCTATTTGTTCCCCTCCTTCCATTATATTTGTTTGCAGTGGGCCATTTGTGGTGACAAAGTATCTCTCCGTTTAGACAAGATAGAATCGGCCCATTTAAAATGGTGGGTGGCCTCTTTTGGTTTTGTTCAGAGAATGCTATATTATTTTCTTCTCAGACACCCAGCTTTTCAAAATAAAATAAAAAAGTTGTATTTTTCATGTTGAATCAAAATATGGGACCAAAAAAGACCCATAAAGGACTTATATAATTTTTATGAATATACATCTAACCAAAAAATGTCGCTTATTGTGTATTTATTCCCGATCCCTAGTTGCCCCACCCTTCTATTGCCCTTTTCCCTTTCTTAAAATATCAGCCGCGACGAATTCATATATATAACAAAGATGTGCTTTTCATGAAAAGAAATGCTCTAAAACGGCTCCAGGTGTATAAAACCCCTCAGTCCACAGTCCTTCACTACGGGGCATTGTCATATTCCACAGCAATATTACTGAGCGTATCTCAATTACAGTCATGAATTAATAAGCCCAATTGACTTGAATTTCCCTCGGTGGAGAGACTTGAGGAAAAGATAGGCAGGTCTTTGTCAACACAACGCTGGGCCGACTTCAGACCTCGCAGCTGGAGCAAATATTGGCTCAAGGTCTCCAATACGGGCCCAGACCTCTCAGGATCTGCTTGGTCAAGTGGCGAAATTGCAGCAATTAAAAAGGTGGGGAAGAAGGGAGAAGTATTGCGCCCTGTGTCAATAATCGGTATGACCATTGGTCAGGGATTGGATCCGCGCTTTCCAATGCAACTGGTCAGCAGCATCCCGAGTATTCATAAACAGAGGAGAGAGTTGGTTTGTCAATAAAACATCATGTACTTTAACTAAATAAAATTGGAAATTAGGAAAGAAAATTACAACCCAATTTAATGAGATAACATTAATTTGCTGGCTCTCTTTCCTACTTTTACAAAAATGATTTTTTACAGAATCATAAACCTCTCCCCAATTTATTTTGAAAAAACAATCACAATCACAACAAGAAAAATTCTTTGATGAAAAAACACTTCATTTTGCCTAATATTTCGTAATAGAACTGCATCATAATATGTTGACCCCCTCTTTTTTTCTTTTTGTTGCACGGGTCCCCTCACACTGTGTTTCGAACCTTGTTCTTTTCTTCCTTTGAACCATAACGACAGCCTGCCCGTGGTTCACGATATCATGTTTACAAGCCTTATTTTCTGCCTAGCTAGTTTGCTTGTAACCCTACAGAAAGCGATCTGGTCTTTTCAATTAAATTGTTGTGACATATGGAAATTTAAACTTGATAGATTGGATTAAAACAAATGGAGTCGAACATAATCAGTTCGACAAAAGGTGGAAGGCAATTGTCTCGTATTCAATACATGAAAACCCTAACCCCTATTTAAAAGTCGTTTTAAGGTCGTTTAATGAATTTTGAATTTCCTTTTTGATTGATGATTATTTTAGCTTCATCTACGCGAGGCTAATGGGCTGAGGGGTTCGATAATTGTTTATTAAATTCAAATAAACGCCAGCCTTGATTT